TAATATCAATATTTCTATATAATATATATAGCAATTTAATCTATTTTTTTCTAAACAGTGTTGTTATCTATAGTATAGATTATTAAATGGTATTACTTAAATTTATAATTGAAAAACACTTACAAAAGTGTATAATTCAATAAAAAACAAAAATACCTAAATTAATAGATTTATTTATATTTGAGTAGATATCAAATTTTAGTCATCTTATCGAACAAACAATAAAGGTTTGATTAATATGAGTTATAATTTTTATTTTTTAATTTAAAGTTACTCAATTGAAAGTAAATATATTTCAAGAATTATTCAATTGGAAGATTCAGCATATAATCAATTAAGATGATTAAAATGGAGTTTAAATGAAATTTAACTTCTCAATTAAGGTTAGATAAAGATTACAAAATTATAATCTCAAAAAATTAGAAACTTATACTTGTATTAGAATGGAAAAGAAATTGATGAAATCCTATAGAAACATAATTATAATATTTCAATAAATCTAGTTTTTCTAACTTAAATTAATAAATATTTGGAAATGATATTCTGTTTATCATGGAGAAAACATTGTATATTATTAATTAAAAAAATATAATAAATTGAATATAATTTATTATTTTTCATGCCATTTATTGAATTTTTTTACCACAATGCTAGTGTCTCTGTGTTGAATCAAGAAGCCTTATCTTATATGAGGAATGATGAACCAGTTGGAATTTTAATAGATATGTGGAGATTAATAATTTTAGTTATGAATAATAAAGACACATTATTTATAAATTCAAGTAAAATGGTTTTATTATATTTAAGAATTTGAATTTAAAGATCAGTCAATGTATAATAATTAAAATAACGAAATAATTCTTAATTTTTTTCAAATTTATGATTATTCAGTATCTCAAAGCTATATTGAAAATTAATTTGATTATAATAGGTCGGTTTATGATTTATCACCAATTATAGTATCAGGTATTGGATAATAATTATAAAGAAAACTATTTATTTGTATTTTTGGATAATTTTTGGCCTGTAGCACTTAAAATATTAATATAAATTTTTATTTACTTTGCTTATTTAATATTGCCATGGATATTGATTAATTTAAACTTTATTGCATTCTTCATACTTGATTATGTTGAAGATAAACCCTATTCTTTTAAAATAAAAGAATCATTTATTTGGTTTGGTGGATAGAGCAGACCAGAAACAGATAATATTTGTAAGTAAGTATATAGATTTGTTTTTGCAATGGTAAGTTTCTTAATAGTAATAATATTATTTTCGGACTTTATTTATTTGATAATAAATTCATTGGCAAAATCAAATTTTAATACTATTTAAGATATGAAAGATATTAATGCAATTGCTTGTTATTTCGAGCAGGATCAATTTCTTTAAAATCTATTTGATAGGGACAGAGGCTTATAAAGAAAAATTGGTGATAGTTAATTATAATGCATGTAAATGCTAAATGAATAAATTGTTGATGTTGTAATAATGAGCGAATTTAATTTATTAATATTTTTAGAATAACATAAAATGTATTTAAGTAAATTAAGATATTAAGTTAAATTGAATACAAATATTGCTCATCATATTTTAATTAATAAAAATGATCCCCTATGGTTTAGGAAAGAATTAAATGATGCTATAGATGTAATATAAAAGCAAAAACTAGATTTGATGATTAAAGAAAAGCATTTACCCACTAAATTATATAATTCCAAAAATAAATCAATAATGCCTTATTAGCCTACTCTTTAGTTAATATGTGCAATACTATCTATTTTATTTATTATCGTCATTTAAATCACCTTAGTTCTTTAAGAGTTTAATATATTTAAGAACAAAATAAAAATTAAATATTTCCCAGATAAAATTGGATCTAAAGTAAAATAAAATTGATAATAAATACTATTAGAAAATATTTTAAATATAATAATCTATGTAACCCTTAACATAATCTTCCCAATTTAAGAAATTCAAAAAATTATCAATTAAAAAAAAATTTTTCTTCTTAATTCTAAATTTTATAAATAATTAAAAATTTCAAGAATACTAAATAATTGTTTTGAGTAAGCATTCCTTACTTAAAACATAATCAATTCTTAAATATTATGAAGTTTTTTATATTATTAATACAGTTTTTTATAAGAAATAATAAAAATATATTAATCATTTTTATAAATGAATGCAAATGGTCTGCAATGGGAATAATAATTAGAAAAATCAAGGATGAGCAATTAGCAATTAGAATTTTGTTAGTATTTCACTTTAAGTTATATATATGAAAATGAGCCAGAATCATTCTTGGTAAGATGTAGATTAATATAAAATGGAAATATTTATATATATTTAGATAGAAGATCTAAGACCTATAAATAATTATCTTAAAATGTAGTCTTATTATGGCATTTTCCATTATCAAAAGAAATTTATTAAATTAAAGCGAAATAAAATTCATTAATAGAAAATATTGAATATCATTGGAATCTAATTGATAAAGAAGAAAAGAAAAGTTTTCATTAGAAAAATCCTGATTAAATTTTAGATTAAATCGCTGAGAAATAATTAACTGATATTGAAAAATTTAATATGCAAGATAAAAATAATTTGTCTGAAAATTTTAAAGTGATAATAATTTCCCCTTTTGATATTATTTAAATTAAATAGACGATGCCTTAAGTGATTGCAGATTCAAGAACTAAGTTTGAATCTATTTTTCGACCATATAAGGAAGAATAAAAGATTCATTATTTTCTCAAAGAAAATTAATGGTTTTCTAATCAAATAATTTGAGTATATTTAAATTATATTATCATAATATGTAAAATAATAACAATAATAATCTAAACTTCGAATTCAGTAAGGACACTAACAATTTAAATAAGAAGTTGTAAGGATTTTATAGATAAAAAGATTAGAAATTTGATCATTTCTTTGATGAGCTCACTACAGAATACAAATTATTTAAAGTATTCAAGGCTATACAATAATTATTAGAAAATGACACATGAATGTTAAATGGTTTGTTTCGGCAATGCAAGTTTCAATCGAAAATAATCTGATGCTTGTGCCAGATAATGCTTAGATCCATATTTATATATAAGAAAATCCATAGGAGATAAAATAGGATAATGTGATGTAATTGTTAATTCTAATTGAAGCAACAATTTTAACAATAAGAATCAAAATGTATGAGCTCAACTGATATGGATTGTAATAATATATAAAATTATTTAAGAATGTTATTCAAATTTAGTAAGTTAATTAGGAGTTTGTCTTTAATAAAATACATAATTTGCAAAAGATTAGTACAAAAGTGTGTTGTCACATTTTTTAAAAAAATGAAAAAAATCATAAATACGTATATTAAAAAAATAATTGTGAAAAATTAAAGATCAATTTTTAAATCTAAATGACTTATTTTTTTTTTTTGAATTTTGAGATTATTACTCAAATATCATTTTTCTTGTTAACATATTTACTGCAGGAGATTATTTTATTATTTATTACTATACTAATTATCTTTTTTATTATTATTAATTATCTAAATGTGATTATGAAATCTTATATTTAATGGCATCTTAGTAATTTGGATGAAAAATATTGATCTTTTCACTAAATGAATAAAGATCCTTCATTTTAGAATTTTATGAGAAACTTCTAATTTTATATTGTTCATTCTAAGAAAAAAATGAACTTACAGTTTTCTGGCCATCAATTTAATCAGTTTTGATAATAGTGATAGGTGTAATTTAAATATTTGGAATAAAAGTTGAGTTTTACTTGATTTGCATTAATTAAATATGTTTTTCAAATTCATTCATGTCTAAATCAACAGCCCAATTCAAAGATTTCTTTATATGAGTATTCTATTACATCAATTATTAATATAATTTATCCATATTTTATTCTCTGCTTTGAAAATAGAGAATTTATTCATCCTATATTCTAATTATAATATAAATAATTTACTTGTCTATTGAAAGTAAATCATAAAGCTTTAAATGAGTTTTTTTATAATATTAGCTTAAATTTTTATTTTTGTTAATATTGATTTACCATTCAGGTTAAGTGCTTTTTCTTTAGAATAATAATTAAGTAATTGATAATTATTATTATTATTATTAAGATTCATTGTTCTGGGAATCTTAATCTTAACTATGAATCTTTATAATGATAAAACATAATACTCACTCGCTTAACTATATCATTATTGGTTAACTTTCTATTGGCAATTTCTAATTACAATTTACATTCCGTAAATATGGATTGAATGATTTAAATAAATACCCCTTATTTTCCATCATACATATTAGACAAACAATTATAAATGGTTGGTTGAAATGTTGATGCTTTTGATCTAAATATAGATTTTTTAGCTAACAAAACCTGATATGCTTCAGCAAGTCTGGCAATAAATCGATGCAATAATCTATAATTTAATGATAGAGTATACTTAACTTCGTTTTCATTATTTAATTATTTATTTTGGAATAATTTTAGAAATTTTCTCTCAGTATTATCATAATATTCGTATTGCACTGTTAACTCTTCACTATCTTTATTTGGTAACTAATCTAAATTAAATAATTCTTTGAATAATAGATTTAGAGTTTCCTGATCTAGCTACATTTTATATATAAATATAAATATATATATATATATTAATGTTATTAATTCAATATAATTTATAATAAACAATAATAATATAATTATATTAATACAGTTATGAAATAAGATTAAAATTAACAATAGCCTGTAGCTAAGAAGAAATCAGTTCCATTCACCAAAAAGCTTAAAAGAGCAAAGAGACATTTCATTAAATTTTTAAAAAGTCCAAGCACAATTTAGAGCTTCTATTTTTGCATCTAAGTAATAATTTATTATATTGGAATTGCATCGTTATTGCTTCTAGTATATTACCTCTTTTACTAAAGGTATTTATTTATCAATCTATATAGTTATATCTATTTCATAATAGTATTATCAATATTATCTCTTTTTTATGTGTCTTACTAAGGAGTGAATATCATTCATTACAAAACAATAGTTGAAATTCAAAATTTTAATGATACAGAGTCTAGTTCATAGAAAGACCAATAAAATGAATCAAAAGGATGCAAATATTATTGTAAAATACTTGGAATAACTACGGCTTCACTCTTACTGTTAGATATACCAATATTGAAATTTTAAATCAATAAATAAGTTCAATAAATTGATAATTAATTGGAATAAGAAGATGAACAATATACATATAATATAAAGCAAGCAAACAAAGCTAAATAAAAAGCTTAAGATAAATAACCATAAATTGATGACAAATAATTAACTGCTGAATATGCTGTTAAAATTACTACTTTAAGAACTTAAAAAAAATAAAGATTGTGGTTAATTCCCTATAAATTTGGATTTTCTGCTATATTTGGGTATATACCTGCAACTTTTGTATTCGCTGTATGGTTAATTGGAAATCAATAACAAATTGATGTTTTTGGTAAACTCTAAAATGCAATTCTCACTACAAGTTATGGATGCTTATTGTTTGCAAGCATTATCTGTCTTTATGAAATTTAATTTTTTGATAAAACAGCTTCTACACTTAAAGAGTAAATTTAATTATAATAATATTTTTAGTGCTTTTAAGTGGTTTTTATGCAGATATGTAGAATTATTATGTAAATCTTTATTAATTGGTTATTATATCAAATTTAGTTTATTTGAAACTATGCCACTTTTAATTATTGGATTAGGATACTTAAGTTACAGTATTTTATGCACATTTATATTTACTTTATTCGATTATTAAAAAAGTGAAGAGCAAATATAATCATAACAATAATCAGTTGAAAGATAAGACAAAGAAAAATAAGATGTTAAAATATAAGAAAATTAAGAACAACCTATTGAGAAAGGAGTATGTTATGTTATTAAATGTTATCTAAAATCATTATTACTTAATATCTATGCAAGAATATTATTTTTACCTTATAAAGAAAGTGCTTTAGGAATGAAAACACTTTCTTTCTTTTAAATAACATATGGAATAGACAAAAAAATGATTCGAGAAGAAGTAGCTAGTGATGGTTGGAAAAATTGGATGATCACTTATGATCAATCTAAAAAGTTTGGGTTACCAAGAAGATCTTATACACATATAGTATAATCTTTAAGATTTTTTGAATTGTTCCACTTAGCTTTATTTTCAATTTGTTAAAACATTATCTAAGGGTAATATCTTGAAATTGTGGAACCTAAGAAAATGTCATTATATTATTCTGGCAAAATAGTAACTGTTGCTAGTATTGTTATCTTATTGTTGTTTTATGTTAGAGCTGGATATAGAACCATTCATGAAAAATAATTAGATATAACAGGAATTGATGAATGATATTATTCAATATACAAATATTTTTTTTAATCAATTAATGTCTACATTTTATCACTATTATTATATTCAATAAAATTAAAACAAATTATTATGAGTTTGGATTCGTCTTAAAAATGCGATGAAGAAACTGGTTTAAAATCTATGGCTCCTGAACCTCTAGAACTTGATGAAAGTTATCAAACCCCTGTTGATATTAGATGGGGAAATTGCTATCCATTATTTTTAAAAAACAATATACCAAAAATTGTTATTGGCCCTCATTGTAATATTTTACTAATATTATAAAATAGGGCCATTGTTTATATGTGCATATTCTTTATTTGTTGCAGCTAGTATCTTTTTAATAGGTTGGCATTTTACCAGTACTTCATCAGAATTCATAAAATGGGCAACTTTTATAGTCTGTATTAATTAATGTTGGAGTTATGCTTGGGTAGCTTTAATTAATCCAGGAGTAATTAATTATGATAAAAATAATTAAATTGAAACTAGAACAAGATGTGCACCATAATTAGACATTTAAAATGATAGCAAAACTTGGTATTGTACCAAGTGTAAATTGTTATAATTGCATGGTACTGTACATTGTAGTGATTGTGATGTATGTATTTAAGAGATGGATCATCATTGTCCATGGACAGGAAAATGTATTGGTAAAGGAAACATCAAATAATTTTATTATTTTCTTGCTAGTACTTTAATATTTATGATTTTTAACATCATTGCTTCATTAACATAGCTAGATGGAGCATTAAATGGAACAAGAAGGAAAATTAAATAAGGAAGTTGAAGAAATTTAATATATTGTTAATTTATTGATTTGATTTCATCTCCATTTTCTAATATATAATTAGAAAATCCATAAAAATCTAATTATTATTTTTACAAATAATATTATTAAAATCAACTTAATTAAAGAAATCTAATATATTTATAGATTAAAGAAACTAAAGATTTAAATAATCTAAATTACAACTTAAACAATTAAATAACTAAATGTCTTGAATTAAATTAACAATCCTGCATATTATTTTGGATTTATTTATTGATCGCTCAACTATTTAATTTCAGATAAATCATAATAAGAATGAAAATTAATATAATTAGATTTATTGATATACAAATTAGTGTTATTCAATAGTGTTTAATATCAATCGACAAATCTAACAATTTTTTTAACTTTTTAAGCTTATTTTTTTAGAGGCATTACACAATCTTCTGTATATAAGATTCCTTCAACATATTAATAAACATTGGCATTCTAATTAGTTTTAATATAGATATTACTAGAAGTTCTTTGATAGACTGAGTTACACATTGTTTCATTGGTAAGACTGTTTTTGGTGATTGGCAAGTTTGAAGAGATGGTAATCGAGAGGAAATGTTGGTATATTTCTTAGGTTTATATTTATCTAGTATATTTTAGGATTTAAAGAACAATTTCTTTAACTTATAGGCTTCCTCTTTTGTAATTTTACTCATTTTTATATTTATTTTATAATTGATCATTCACAGAATTACAATTATATAGGATTCTCAATTTTTAAATAATCTTGAATTGACATTGCAACACTGTGTGTTCTAAGTCCAGCATTAAAATTGATCTAATCTCCTTATGTAATTAAAGATGGATCCAAATAAGTTTATACTTTGAATATACTTCCAAAAGGAGGGACTGCACCAGTGACACACTTAGTAATTTCATATACTTATTGTTCATTAGCTAAATCCAATTATTTACAATCTAAAAGTTTTCTTATTAATTTCCAAGATAATTTCTTAGAAGCCGACATTACACATAATATAAAAAGTTAAGTTTTTTTATTTTATAATAACATGGCTTTGGCACCACTATCTAAAGAGACTCCTCTCACTTTTGCTGATTCTTCTGAAGTCTTAGTAGGTTCATGGATCAATAATTTGAATTGGATATTATTTGTATTCAATAATTATTGGATAGCTTCGAATGTCTATGTATTTTCTTACATATTTATTAAAATAATCTGTATGAAATAACTCAAAATTAATAATCAGTTCGTCACTTAAAAGAAGATTTCGTAAGGGTCTTTTGGAATAGTAATGTAAGGAATTGATTAGAAAAATGGAAACTAAGTAGCTATAAAAATTGAAAGGCCAGAAAATGAACATTTGCGTTCTCTTGAAAGGGAAATTGAAATTTTATCAAGATTATCAAATATTAAAGGAGTACCATAAGTGTTTTATTATGGTTGGGAGGATGCCTATAATGTAATTGTCATGGAATTGTTATAAAAAGATTTATCTTCGATTTTAAAGTAAAGGAAAAAGTTTAGTTTAAAATCTGTTTTCTAACTATTGATAGAACTGGTTTTAATATTAGAAGAAATACATAAACAAGGTGTACTTCATAGAGACTTGAAACCAGAGAATATAATGTTAGATGATATAAATAGGGTTTATTTAATCGATTTCGGGATAAGTAAAATATATATTCGTAAAAATGGGATTTTAATGTATTATCTTAAATTATGTAAAAAAGTCCTTTTAAAGATAGAGTACCATTCGTAGGTACTTCTAGATATGCTTCAATAGCAGCACATAAAGGATATGAATTAGGAAGAAAGGACGATTTGGAGTCATTATTTTATGTTATGCTCTATTGTCTCAAAGGGTATCAGCTTGTGAATAGTATTAGTTTAGTAATTTACCATGGCAAAACCTCAAGCATGTACCTGATGATTAAAGAACTTAAAAAATAGGAGAGATTAAGGAGAATATTGAGGTAAAAGAACTATTCAAAGATTTGCCAAATGAATTCATTAAAATATATGAGTAATAAAATCTAATAATTATTAGATATTTGAGAAAATTGACTTATGCATCTGAACCAGACTATAAAACAATTGTGAAATTAATTTAATAAGCAGCTAAACATAGTAATATTTTTCTGGATAATAAATACGAATGGGATATTCAAATGAATAATTATGACAAAAATATTAATAGGTATGGAACTTTACAAACTGAAGAATTACCATTAAAGTAATTTGAAAAGTTTTCTTCTAATTTACTTAATTGTAATAACTTACTTGCATAAACTCCATCTAAATTTAAATAATTATAACCTCCGATAAATAAATAAGAATCTTATTAGAATAGCAATAGCAATAATGGCAGTGGCAATCAAAATTTAAGTATATACAATTCAATGGGAATCATTTACTAGAGATCTATAGATGAAATTAGTGAAGAGCTCTAAGAACCAATCCCAGATGAAATGAAAAGCTAAAATAATATTTGTTTAAAAACGTTGCCTGATGCATTAAAAAAACCTAGACTAATCTTTAAGACTACTTAATTTGATGATGATGAATAATTTAAAGAAGATCACTTTTTATCAGAGAAATATCATAGTTTAAGTGCTTAAGTAACTACTATTTTTTAAAATCACAAAAAATGACTACCAATTTATATTCATTTTTGTAATATAATTTATAAACTAGTATTAATATGTTAGAAGTAGAGAATTCCTTGAATTTAATATTTATTTTAATATTTCATGGACCCGGCAAAATAATATCTAGTTAATTGTGTCTAAGCTCTTCTAAATTTGCCTCAAACTCCTCAAGGTTTAGCTTCTGGGCAAACATTAGATAAATTTATGATTGGGTAAGATAAAAAATGTTTGATTCTTTAATACATGTAAGGATAAGGATTAAAATTATTTAATCCTACAAAAGTTGGTAATATTAAATTGAATATTTAGATGAATTAAATCCATAAACTAAATTGATTGCCATAAGTAAGATTGATACAGATGTAATAACTGAGGATAATTATTTCACTAATCTTACAGTCTAATTATTATCACCTAATGTAGTAACAGAATTGAGTTCACATTTATCATTGATATATTAACCTTTGATGGGATCTGGGGTTGATGAAAAAATTAAAAAAAAGTTATCAGGATTCAAGTAATGAAATTTGATTTAAATTATAGACAGGTATTATAAGGACTTTAAGATAATGATTTCGACAATGTATAAACAGAATAGAGAAATGTAAGTCGACCAATTGATGAAATAGAATAATGGTTAAGAATATCATAATCTGCAACAAGTTCAGAAAGTTAATAAAGAATAGCTAATTCAGTTTGTTAAATTTACTAAAAAGTAACTTAATTATGGAAAGATGTTAAATAATTAGAGATAAACAAATTTTCAGATTTATTGGATCAAACATTGGGTTGTCTTGATGAATTATTCACATAACAGTTATATAATGAATAGAAATTATAAGGTATGTTATCTTCTATGTACAATTAAATTATAATCAAATTGTAACATTTAATACCATAAGGATAATAAATATTTAGTAATACTCAATAATAAAAACTATTATTATTGGAATGTTAAAAAATGGTTAGAATGTTCGGAGAAAATTTAAGAAAATACTTTGAATATGATTGGAAAATTAATCCTAATATACATGAATTTGAATAAATTGAGAAAAGATTGAATGATCTTATAGAATTAAGAAGTATTTATGAAGAATTGAAGAGAAGCAATATTGATTAAGATTTTTTTAAGGAACTATTTGAGATTAATCCATTTATGTCTATAGGCTAAGATTCATTATTTAATGTTGCTTATAAAAAAGTACTTAATAATTTAGAAAGTGCTGAATAAGATATCCTAAATCTGTTAAGACAATAGGTTTTTAAATAGTAAGTGATGAAGGAGAATCCATTATAAACTATTAGAGAAATGTAAAGATGGACTGGATTATTATCTAGAAATTCTATATAGAAACACTTTTTAACAGAACGTGATTCATTGATAACATCAATTACAAATATGATTTCTAAAATTGAATAAGAATTTAATACTAGATCAGGAGCTGCTTTTCTTGATGATGGAGAAGAAGAGAAATTACCTTATTAAATTGGATTTTCTAAAAATATACATTAAATAGTATGGTGTAAATCATTGATTGGTAAAGTTAAGAGAATTATTTAATTAATTTAATAATTATTTAGTGATATTAAGAAATCAGCTTAATTTATAGTTATGTGTTAAAATCTTATAAAATAAGTTTAATAGTTTGAATAAGAATTATTTGATTAATGGAAAAAAGAAATTGATTCACAATTAAAGAAAAATGAAATATCTTTATAGATTTCAGGAAAGTTAATGGAAATTGATATGTAAGATGGTTTAGTAAGAGTTAATTATTCAGATAAATTAGTATAATTAATAAAGGAAGTGAGATAATTATGTGAACTTGGTTATAGGAAAAATATATCAAATGAAATACATACAATTGTAGAAACAGGAAAGAAATTTTATAAGGAAGCTTTAACTTTGAAATCTATAGCTAGTTTTTATAATTAGATGTCTGATTAAATTATTGAATGTTAAAAGCCAATGTTAGTTAATTAAGCAGTAAAATTTGAAGATACTGTAAAGAATACTAAAAAGAAAAATAGTATTACTTGGGAAAATACTTAAGAATTGGAAAATTATGTATAAAAAGTTTAAGAATCTGCAAATGAAATTATGTAAGAAAATAAAAGATTAAGAAAAAATCATTAATAAATAATTGATAATATTTGTATATTATTTTAGATTGAATTGAAATAAAAGAATTTATGGAAAGAAAAAGTTGATTAAATTAAGAAAATAATTGAATAGACATGTAATAACATTGATGGTAAATTTACAATTGGATGGAGAACTCATATTGATTTCTAATTATATAAAGCTTTAGAATTTTAATATAAGAAAGGATTCTAAGAAATGGATCATGCTATTAATGAGATATAAGCAGATATTATTATTAAAAATGGCTAGGTTGTATATAAGCCATCTATTGAAGAATTAAGAGAAAAATACTATAATGAATTAAAAAAATATATATAATATCCATCTTAATTTATAGGTGTTGGAGGCAATAATGATATTTATATGTTGATGCCAGAAAGGAATGCTGTGTTTGTTATATAAGTTTATGAGAAAAGTGAATAGATATTTGAAAAATTAATTAGTTTAAGTAATCAATATATGGGTTGGTCAGTTGTTGCATTATTAGATGCTGAACAATTATAATTATAATTGGGTAGTTTAGAATAATGGGAGAATTTCATGAAAGAAGTTAGATAGAGAAGAAAAGAATTAGAAAAAATTAATGATTATTAAAAGATTGAATGCTTTAATATTAATATAAGTTTGTTTAAGTAATAAATTGATGAATTATTAACTAAATTAGTAGATAATATGTTGAATGAATTAAAAAATTAAATTAAAAATAATATAATTGAAATTGAATTATTTTTAAGTGAAACATAATAGAAATTATCATAAAAACCATAAAATATGAATGAAATGAATGAAGCATAAAAAAAATATGTTGATATAAAAGCATAGAAATTTGAAATGACTTAAAAAATGCAAGATTGTCAATAGAAACAAAAATTAATTAATTCTTTAAGTTCATAATCTCAAGCCTAGAATCCCATTTTATTATAATTATAATAAATAAATAAAAATTGGGAGAATTTTGAATTATTAATTGGAGATTTTGATTCAATTTTAGCTGAATAAACTAAACAATTAAAAAAGGATATGTAAGCAAGAGCTAAGGATGTTGATAGTGAAATTGAGAAATTTTATTCACGATATTCTGCTGTTAAACCAAAATAATTAAGTGAATTAGATAGATCATCAGCAAATGAATTAGCTGAGAATATGTTACAATGGAGATAATAATGGAAATAATTAGATGAAAAGATTTAGACTCTTATTAAAGATCATTAACATTTTGAAATGGAAGTTCCAACCTTTACTTAATATGAGAAGGTTAAGGTTGAAATGACAGAATCAGAAGTAGTATGGGGTTATTATGATAAATTTTAATAAAATATTAATAATTTAGGAAAAGAAGATTGGTTGAGTTTTAGAACTAAATTATATATGTTTTAAGAATTATTATTATAAGAATAAGAATAATTAAAGGCAGAATTAACAAAAGGTACATTTACTAAAAAGGAGGCAATTATCAATTATATTTTTTATTAAATTGAGTTATATCTCAAAATAAATCCATTATTAAAATTAATTGTTGGAGATGCATTTGAACCTGAACATTGGACTAATTTGTTTATGATTCTTAAATAAAAGGAAATGAAAAAAGAAAAATTGTTATTCAAAGATTTACTTAATTGTGATAAATTAATATTAGATAAATAAAATGATATTAGAGAATTATAAGCAAGAGCATAAGGAGAAATTACATTGAGAGAAGCTATCTTTGAATTGAAAACATGGTGTGATACTTCAGAATTTGATTTAACTGATTATACTAATAATAATAGAGTCACTCCATTAATTAAAGAATGGAAAGAATTAATGACCAAAGTTAGTGATAATTAATCATTATTAGCATCTTTAAAGGAATCAAAATTCATTAGTAGATTCAAAGATTAAGTTGATTAATTTGAATTAAAATTAGGTGGTATTGATGAATATTTATCCAAATTATAAATTATCTAAAGAAAATGGGTATATTTGGAACCTATTTTTGTCAGAGGAGCATTACCATAAGAATAAGCAAGATTTAGAAGATTAGATGAAGATTTCAGAAATATAATGTTAGGAATTCAAAGAGATCAAAAGGTAGTTTCTTTATGTAGTATTCCAGGAATCAAAGATACTTTAGATACAGTTTTAGATTAATTAGAAAGATGTTAGAAAGCATTGAATGATTTCTTAGAAGAGAAAAGAGGCAAGTTTCCAAGATTTTACTTTTTGGGAGATGATGATCTATTAGAAATATTAGGTCAATCTTAGAATCCTCAAGTAATTTAGATGCATCTGAAGAAATTATTTGCTGGAATAAATTCTGTAGAATTCAGTAAGGATAATACTTAAATTTATTCTATGTTATCATCCTAAAAGGAATAAGTTCAATTTAATAATTCTATTTAAGTAAATGATATTGTAGAGAGTTGGTTATCAGTATTATCATCAAATATGAAAGAGACCTTAAGTTAATTATTGAAATAGTGCTTAAAAGAGTAGAATATGGATTTCAATAAATTCCCATCTTAGATTCTTTGTTTATCTGAAGAGTAATATATATATAAATTATTAATAGAATTAAATTCACTGAATAAGCAGTATCAGCATTAAATTCAAATAAGTTACCTTAATTCAAATAGACATAGCTAAAATTATTAGATTAATATACTTAATTGAATGCACAATCTTCAAATAATTATCTATTACAATTAAAATTAAAATCATTAATTTTAGATCTTATTCATCATTTGGATATCATAAGTTAACTCATTGATAATAAGGTTTCAGTATTATCAGATTGGTATTGGTATAAATAATTAAAATATGAATATTAAAAAGATGCACAAATAATAATGTGTAAAGCAAGATTTGATTATACATATGAATATCAAGGAAATGGTTAAAAATTAGTGCATACACCATTAACAGATAAATGCTATTTAACATTGACTTAAGGAATGTCTATGGGTTATGGAGGTAATCCTTATGGTCCAGCAGGTACTGGTAAGACAGAATCTGTTAAAGCATTGGGATAATTATTTGGTAGATAAGTTTTGGTGTTTAATTGTGATGAAGGAATAGATTTTAAAAGTATGGGACGTATATTCATGGGATTAGTTAAATGTGGAGCATGGGGTTGTTTTGATGAATTTAATAGATTGTTAGAAGAATAATTATCTGCAATATCTTAATAAATTTAAATAATTTAAAATGCTATTAAAGAGAATTCATAATCTATGACTTTGATGGGTTAGACCTGTATAGTAAATAAAGATTCAGGTATATTTGTGACATTGAATCCTGCAGGTAAGAATTATGGAGGAAGATCAAAATTACCTGATAATTTAAAGTAATTATTTAGACCTGTGGCAATGTCAATACCAGATAATGAATTGATTGCTGAAGTCTTATTATATTCTGAAGGATTCAAGAATGCTAAGATTTTAGCAGAGAAAATAATCACAATATTTACATTATCAAGACAATTATTAAGTCCATAATAACATTATGATTGGGGATTAAGAGCACTTAAAACTATATTAACAGTGGCAGGATAAATTATATAAGAAGAAAGAAAATAGGGAATAGCAATTAATGAAACAATTGAATCAGAGTTACTAATTAAATCTATTAGAATTAATACAATGTCAAAATTGACTTATCATGATACAAAGAAATTTGTTTAATTGGTTTAAGATGTTTTTCCTAGTATCAATAGTTAAGATATTATCTATGAGAAATTAACTAATGCAATAAAAGAAGTATTATAAAGCATGAAATTGAGTGAAATAGATAATCAAATTGCAAAGATTCTATAGTTTTATGAAGCAACCAAATAGAGAATGGGTGTAGTTTTAGTAGGTCCATCTGGTTGTGGTAAAACTACAATATGGAAGGTTTTAAAGAAAGCACATGAGAAATTAGGATAATAAGTTAAAACTCATGTTATGAATCCTAAATCTATGCCTAGAAGTTAATTATTAGGAAATATGAATAATGACACAAGAGAATTTAGTGAAGGAGTATTAACAGCATCAGCTAGATTAGTAGTTAAAGAATCAGTAGATGTTTTAAATTGGATTATTTGTGATGGAGATATTGATCCTGAATGGATTGAATCATTAAATTCTGTTTTAGATGATAATCATTTATTAACATTACCTACTGGTGAACGTATTTCATTTTAGAATAATGTTAATTTTATCTTTGAAACTTCTGATTTATAATATGCATCACCTGCTACTGTTAGTAGAATGGGAATGATATTTTTGAATAATGAAGATATCAGTATGTAATCTTTAGTTACTAGATGGATTAATAAATTAGAATGTGAAGAANGAATTCATAATCTATGACTTTGATGGGTTAGACCTGTATAGTAAATAAAGATTCAGGTATATTTGTGACATTGAATCCTGCAGGTAAGAATTATGGAGGAAGATCAAAATTACCTGATAATTTAAAGTAATTATTTAGACCTGTGGCAATGTCAATACCAGATAATGAATTGATTGCTGAAGTCTTATTATATTCTGAAGGATTCAAGAATGCTAAGATTTTAGCAGAGAAAATAATCACAATATTTACATTATCAAGACAATTATTAAGTCCATAATAACATTATGATTGGGGATTAAGAGCACTTAAAACTATATTAACAGTGGCAGGATAAATTATATAAGAAGAAAGAAAATAGGGAATAGCAATTAATGAAACAATTGAATCAGAGTTACTAATTAAATCTATTAGAATTAATACAATGTCAAAATTGACTTATCATGATACAAAGAAATTTGTTTAATTGGTTTAAGATGTTTTTCCTAGTATCAATAGTTAAGATATTATCTATGAGAAATTAACTAATGCAATAAAAGAAGTATTATAAAGCATGAAATTGAGTGAAATAGATAATCAAATTGCAAAGATTCTATAGTTTTATGAAGCAACCAAATAGAGAATGGGTGTAGTTTTAGTAGGTCCATCTGGTTGTGGTAAAACTACAATATGGAAGGTTTTAAAGAAAGCACATGAGAAATTAGGATAATAAGTTAAAACTCATGTTATGAATCCTAAATCTATGCCTAGAAGTTAATTATTAGGAAATATGAATAATGACACAAGAGAATTTAGTGAAGGAGTATTAACAGCATCAGCTAGATTAGTAGTTAAAGAATCAGTAGATGTTTTAAATTGGATTATTTGTGATGGAGATATTGATCCTGAATGGATTGAATCATTAAATTCTGTTTTAGATGATAATCATTTATTAACATTACCTACTGGTGAACGTATTTCATTTTAGAATAATGTTAATTTTATCTTTGAAACTTCTGATTTATAATATGCATCACCTGCTACTGTTAGTAGAATGGGAATGATATTTTTGAATAATGAAGATATCAGTATGTAATCTTTAGTTACTAGATGGATTAATAAATTAGAATGTGAAGAGGAAAAGAAGAGTATGTTATTGAATCAAATCGAATCTACTTTATACAATATGCTTGATGAAATATTCTCTTATGAAGAACTATAAGTTGTACCAACTACTAGAGTTGGATTAATTATGAACATTTTATCTTAGTTATAGAGAATACCAACTAATAAATAATAATTCAATTANTAATTTAAAGTAGTTATTTAGACCTGTCGCTATGTCAATACCAGATAATGAATTGATTGCTGAAGTCTTACTATATTCTGAAGGATTCAAGAATGCTAAGATTTTAGCAGAGAAAATAATCACAATATTTACATTATCAAGACAATTATTAAGTCCATAATAACATTATGATTGGGGATTAAGAGCACTTAAAACTATATTAACAGTGGCAGGATAAATTATATAAGAAGAAAGAAAATAGGGAATAGCAATTAATGAAACAATTGAATCAGAGTTACTAATTAAATCTATTAGAATTAATACAATGTCAAAATTGACTTATCATGATACAAAGAAATTTGTTTAATTGGTTTAAGATGTTTTTCCTAGTATCAATAGTTAAGATATTATCTATGAGAAATTAACTAATGCAATAAAAGAAGTATTATAAAGCATGAAATTGAGTGAAATAGATAATCAAATTGCAAAGATTCTATAGTTTTATGAAGCAACCAAATAGAGAATGGGTGTAGTTTTAGTAGGTCCATCTGGTTGTGGTAAAACTACAATATGGAAGGTTTTAAAGAAAGCACATGAGAAATTAGGATAATAAGTTAAAACTCATGTTATGAATCCTAAATCTATGCCTAGAAGTTAATTATTAGGAAATATGAATAATGACACAAGAGAATTTAGTGAAGGAGTATTAACAGCATCAGCTAGATTAGTAGTTAAAGAATCAGTAGATGTTTTAAATTGGATTATTTGTGATGGAGATATTGATCCTGAATGGATTGAATCATTAAATTCTGTTTTAGATGATAATCATTTATTAACATTACCTACTGGTGAACGTATTTCATTTTAGAATAATGTTAATTTTATCTTTGAAACTTCTGATTTATAATATGCATCACCTGCTACTGTTAGTAGAATGGGAATGATATTTTTGAATAACGAAGATATCAGTATGTAATCTTTAGTTACTAGATGGATTAATAAATTAGAATGTGAAGAGGAAAAGAAGAGTATGTTATTGAATCAAATCGAATCTACTTTATACAATATGCTTGATGAAATATTCTCTTATGAAGAACTATAAGTTGTACCAACTACTAGAGTTGGATTAATTATGAACATTTTATCTTAGTTATAGAGAATACCAACTAATAAATAATAATTCAATTATCTTCTATTATAAGGGTTGTGTTCCAACTTCTAACCAGAAATCAGATTGAAATTCTAGACATTAATTAATTCAAACCTTGAATTAAATGAAAATGGAGACAAATATTAATATGTCAATTAAAATATTGATGAATCTTAATTCTCAGATGTTAATGATCCTCCAGTTATAAAAACTATTGGTCATTAAAAAGATCTCTAAATGTTATAATCTTGGATTCTCAATAATGATCCATTTATTATTGTTGGAGAAGAAGGTTGTGGTAAGAATCTATTAATCTAAAGTGCATTTAAAGAACTTAAAAAGACTATCAAAATTCAAATAGCCACAATCAATTGTAATGCTTAAACAAGTGCATCTTAAATCATTTAAAAATTAAATTAAATTTGTGCTAAAGCTACTTCAGCATTAGGTAGAGTATATAAACCTAAAGATTGTAGTCGTTTAATTCTATATTTAAAAGATATTAATCTTCCTAAACCTGATAAATATTAGACTATTTAACTTATTGCTTTTCTTTAATAATTAATTACTCATAGAGGTTTCTATGATGAAAATTTAGAATTTGTATATTTGGATGACAAAATCTAAATTGTATCTTCAATGAATCCTCCTTCTACAATTGGAAGACATTAATTGTCTACTAGATTCACAGCAAATGTTAGAATCTATTATATTGAATAACCATCTAATGATGAATTATAATAAATTTATTAAGAATATCTGAAAATTCTGATATTTAAAGATAATAATCAAAGCAAAAAAGGTGCTTAATTATTAATTGAATGTTATACACAAATCAAATCCAAATTCACTGTTGATGAACAAAGACATTATCTCTTTACTCCAAGAACTATCACTTAAATTATTTTTGCTTTAAAAAGATATAATGATATATAATCAGTATTCCCTGAAGCATTACTCAATGAATTCAATAAAATATTTAGAGATAAATTGATCTCTTAAGATTAATAATTTAAATTCGATTAAATGATATTACCAATTTTTAAAAAATACTATAAGGATATACAATCTTAATAATATTTTGCAACTGTTTTAAATCTCTAAACTTTGTCAAAGATTGAAAAAAAGGATTTTATTCAATTAGTTTCATAAGCTGTTTAAGTATATTCTCGAGAGAATAGAGAATTAAATGTTGTTATGATTGAAGAAATACTATCTTTGTTAACATCTTTAAATAGAGCATTATCTTCTCAGAGTTAAACAACACTATTATTAGCTGGAAGAAATGGCATAGGAAGAAAGATGTGTTTATCAATTATGTGCACTATGCTTAATCTTGAAGTTCTATAACCATATACATGTAGAGATTATGGAATTAGAGAATTTAAAAGAGATCTTAAATCATATATGGAAACAGCTTAATAAAAGAATTGTTTATTAATTTTAGAAGATCATGTGTTATTATAATAAGGAATCTTAGAGACTGTTAATTCCTTAATTTCAAGTGGTGAAATTCCAGGATTGTTTGGATATGATGAAATAGATAGATTGATATAAAATCCAGAAGAAGTAAAGAGAGAATTTTATGGTAAAACACTTTATGAGGCATTTCATGAAAGAGTAAAAAGAAATATGAAGATTGCTTTGGTTATGGATAATACTAATCATGAATTCTAAACTAATTGTGCTTAAAATCCAGCTTTATTTACAAATACTACAATTATATGGTAAACTTAATTATCAAAAGAGAGTTTGTTATAATTTATGAAAAAATAATTAGAATCTTAAAATAATAATAGTACTGTTAGTGAATAATTAATTAGTTATGCAGTTGAAATACATAGAAATTAAAAAGCTGATCCAAGAAGCTTTTAATCTTTAACTTAAACTTATAATTTAATAATGGATAAGAAAATGTAATCAAAAGGATCTTAAGCAGATCATTTATAAAAAGGTTTAGAGAAATTATAAGAAGCAAATAATTTAGTTAATAAATTAACTTCGGAAGCTTAAGAAAAGAAAGTTTTATTATCTAAAAAGCAATTAGAAGCAGATGATGCTTTATAAAAGATATCAAAAGCTATGTAAGATGCAGCTGAACGTAGATAAGAAACAGAATAATTATAAAGATATTTATAAGAAGAGGAAGGCAAAATAAAAGTATCAAAAGATAAAGTTGAAGATGAATTAAGAGATGTTAATCCTTTAGTATAAGAAGCATAGAATGCAGTTAAAGGAATATCAAAATCACATTTGGATGAATTGAAATCATTAGCATAACCTCCTGCTGCAATTTATGATGTTTTATGTGCTGTTATGAAAGTATTTAAGTAGACAGAAATAAATTGGAAAGCAATTAAAAAGTTCTTAGGTAATAAATAAGTAATTGATTAAATTATTGATTTTGATCCTCATATGATAACAGCTGATATTAGAAGGGATGTTGAAGAAGAAATTGCTAAGCATTCAAATTCTTTTGAAAAATAAACCATTTATAGAGCATCAATGGCAGCAGGACCATTGGCTGAATGGGTAAAAGCAATATTAAAATATGCAACTGTTTTAGAGAAGATAGCACCATTAGAAAAAGAATTATCAATGATAAGTAAAAAATTGGATTCCTCTAGAAATAGATTGAAATAATGTTAAGATGCATTAAATTAACTTGATTAAAAAGTTTAAGAATTAAAGAATAATTTTGCATCTAAAACTAGTGAAGCAGAATTACTTAAAAGAGATTTAGAAAAAGCAGAACAAACAGTTAGTTTGGCATCAAATTTATTAGATAAATTATCAGGAGAAAAGGTTAGATGGTAATAACAACATGATTTAATTGCTTAAGAATTAAAATAATTTCCTTTAGATTCTTTATTATCTGCATCCTACATTACATATTTATCATCATAAGATGAAAATGTTAGATATAAGACATTATAAGAATGGGTTCATTTAACAAAATTATAGTAATATGATTTCTTAAAATTTATGTCTAATGAGAGTCAAATATTGAAATGGAAAACACTAGGATTACCTGGTGATTAATTAAGTATTGAAAATTCAGTTATGGTATTCTCATCTTCAAAAGTTTCTTTATTAATTGATCCTAATACTTAAGCTACTGAATGGTTAAAGAAAACTTTATCAGGGGCTGAAATATTAAATTAAACAGATCCTAAATTCAATAATTAACTAGAATTAGCAGTTAGATTTGGTAAAACTATAGTAATATAAGAAATTGATTAAATAGAAGGATTATTAATTCCATTATTAAGAAAAGACTTATTACATTAAGGTCCTAGATGGGTAGTTATGATAGGAGAGAAATCTGTAGATTTTAATGAAAGTTTTGTTATGTATTTGACAACCAGAAATTCTTCTATTCATTTACCTCCACATACTGTATCTTTAGTATAAGTTATTAACTATACTGTAACTAGAAGTGGTTTGGAAGGAAAATTACTAAGCATTATTATAAATATTGAATAACCAGATTTGGAATAGAAAAAGCAATAATTATTAGAAAATGAAGAAAAATTGAAGATGCAATTAGCTGATTTAGAAAAGACACTTTTAGATGAATTAGCAAATTCATAAGGAAATATCTTGGAAAATAGAGTATTGATTGATAGTTTAAATTAAACTAAATCAAAATCATAAGTTATTGCTTAGAGTTTATAAGAATCAACAAAATTATAGTAAGATTTAGATACATAAAGAGATGTATATAGACCATTATCATAAAAAGGTGCTCAAATCTTTATCCTTATTTAAAGTTTATAGAATTTAAATAATATGTATAAATATTCTTTAGCCTATTTTATTTAAATATTTTAAAAGACTCTAGATATTAAAGAGAGTTTTGATTCAAAATAAAAGAAATTAGAATTTGCTGGTTAACGTTTATTGAGAAATATCTTCAATTAAATAGCTGGTTCATTGTTTAAATAAGATAGATTAATATTTGCATTACATTTAGTAAAAGGATGTAAACCTGAATTAATTGAGGAAGAAGAATGGTAATTTATGATTGGTAATTAAATACCTAATGATAGTGCTCAACTTCCAAAATGGGCATCTTAAGATAGAAGGGAAATATTTGGATAATTGTAGAATCTTAAATTAAATATCAATTTTAATTCTAGTGAATGGGAATAATGGAATAATAATTAAGAATGTGAAAAAAGCTTTCCTTAATCTACTAAATTAAAACCATTTTAAAAAGTTCTTATTGTATAAACATTTAGACCTGAAAGAGTTTAAAGTGCATTAAATGAATTTGTTTGTCCTAATTTAGATATACTAAGTGTTAGTGGTTAGACATTCAATTTTTAAACTGTTGCTTAAGAAGAATTGACAGCTTAAATTCCATGTTTATTTGTTGTTTCAGCTGGTAGTGATCCTTCTAAAGAACTTGAAGAATTTGCTGAATAACAAATAGGTAAATAGAACTTTTAAGAAATGTCTATGGGAGGTAATCAAAATGAATTAGCATTAACATTGATAAAAGAAGCTGCATAAAAAGGTTAGTGGGTATGTTTAAAGAATTTGCATTTAGTTATTAGTTTCCTTCCTTTATTAGAAAAAACCATTAAATAATTAAAACCACATCCTAATTTCAAATTGTGGCTTACAACTGAAGCTCATTTAAAATTCCCATCTATACTTCTTGAAACTTGTTATAAGGTATCATATGAAGCGCCTCCAGGATTAAAGAAGAACTTACAAAGAATAATAACCAGTTGGCCAACTCAAACTAAATAATCAGTTTATTAAACATAATTATTGTTCATCTTAACATGGTTTCATGCTTTAGTTTAAGAAAGAAGAACCTATATCCCATAAGGTTGGAGTAAATTCTATGAATTTTCATATGCAGACTATAAGGCAGGAGTATAAATAATTGAGAATCTATTACAAGAGTCTTAAACAATCTCTTGGTAAACTTTATATGGATTATATGAAAATGCAATTTATGGTGGTAGAGTAGATAATGAATAAGATATAAAGGTTTTAAGAGCATATTTAGAAACTTATTTCAATTAGAATAAATTATAAAATGGAACTCTTAGTACTGGTTAACAAATACCATAAACTAATTAAGTTAAAGATCTTATTAATTTAATTAATAAATTACCTGAAAATGATGTTCCTGAGTTTTTTGGTTTGCCTAATAATATTGATAAAGCTGTTTAAAGATATACAATATAAAGAGTTGTCAGTGGATTAAAATCTATGACTAATATAGTAGGATCTGAAATTAAATTTGATAAAGAATTATGGACTAATTTGTTAAGTCCTCTAATTAATATGTGGGACCAATTAAAAATAAGGGATACTATCTAAATTTCTAATTAATAATTAGGATCATTGGATCCCATAGAATCATTTATATATTTAGAAGCATAATAGACTTGGAATTTGTATTAGATTATCAATCATTCCTTTGATAAATTGAAGAATGTCTTATATAATAATGGCTTATTAACTAGTGATATCATAGATATTGGGTTATTATTTATTAAAGATATTGTCCCTTAAAAATGGGGTAATTTCTGGGAAGGTCCTGATGATATAAATTTATGGTTGAAAATATTCATTAAGAAACTGAATGCAATTAAATTATGGATTGATAAGATACAAAGAAAATAATAATTAGATGAAGTTGATTTAAGTGAGTTATTCCATCCTGAAATATATATGAATGCACTCAGATAAAAAACTGCCAGAAAATTAAATATTCCATTAAATGAATTAAAATTATAGGCAGATTTTGACAATCTTAAACATCCACTTGTAGTTAAATTAAAGAATCTTTTATTATAAGGATGTGGATTCTCTAATGGTTAATTAGTTGATGATATGAAAATAACATCAGAATTCATCTAATTACCATCCTTGAATATCTCTTATGTAGAGAAATCATAACCAGAAAAGAATGGAATAGGGGTAATTATCATATTTATAATATTTTTAGGATTTCCCTATTTATTTAAATGCCAGTAGAGAAAAATTATTATGCAGAATTAAATTACCTCAAACTGGTTAAATGAACGATAAAATAATAGCTGGTGTTGCAGTATTTTTAAGCTAAAACGATTGATTTATTATATTCAACATTAATATATATAAAATAGTTGATAAATTCCTTCATTTAAACTAAAAAATATAATTATTTTATTAATAAAATTCTATGATAACTGTTAGATATCTATGTATATATATATAAAGTATATAAAATACAATAAAAATAAATTTCATAATATCAATGAAATTGATGAGGAATCTTTTACTTCACAACATGTTTTAATTATTTAAGGTAAAGATGCTGTAAGTTTTTGATGTACAACGTTAATTGTTTCTTCTATTATTCTTTTTAGTTCTCTTAATAAATTATTTTATTGACTCTATGTTTAACACATAGTAATAATTTATTAGACAGAACTATTTGAAATGGTTTCTAATGTTTTATCTAATAAATCTAATTACTCATCATCACATTAAAATGAAATTGAACTTAAAAATTAATATAATTTATACTATTCTTATTATCTTTTTAAGAAACGTGTCTATGTTTCTTTTGTACTTGTTTCCTTTTATATTTAGTAAAGCTTTTATTAAAGATTACCAATAACTTTAGTTTTATCTTCTAATTAAGATTAAAAACTTTCTTTATCAGAATCACGAAGTTTAGCTATTTAATCATATTTAGTTTTCCAATCTCTCACAGATTATTGATTATCTTCATCTTATTTATGTCTTTCTTTAACTAAATCATTAAAAATATTTGTTAAATTATCATATTCTTTTTTTAATTGTTAGTATTCATTTTTTATTCTTTAATTTTCTATTTAATATTTTTGAATATCATGTATTTTTCTATCATTAGTAGGTGAATTAGTTGCAGAACCTTCTTAAATAATAGCATAATTTTCTTCTTCTTTTTTTTTCATTTCATCAAATAATTTGTTTTTAGCCTCTAATTCAGCTTAACATTTCTCAAAGTCCTATTGTTTTTTTAATAATTCTAATTTATGTTTTTCTATTATTTCCTATTTTAATTAATCTTTAGTCTTTATTTAAGATTACAAATCTGAATTAGAATCTTTAAGGTCTTAAATTTCTTTAAGTAATTTATTGAGTTTAGATTATGATTCCTATTTTTCTCTTTCCTAAATTCAATTAATAAATTACCCTATCTTCATTGATTTCATCTTGTTTTGGTATTTCATATTAAATATATTATTCTAGGAATTTAAGAGTTGATAGTTCAAATTCAAGATTATTTATTTTTTCTTTTAATTCACTTACTTCTTTTTAAAGAGTCTAAATATCAGAATATTAAATAATACTTTTATATAATTGGCACTTTATTTTAGTTTTTCTCCTTGAGTATTAATATTTAACATAAAATAATAATAAATAAGTGATTTTATAAACAAACTAGATATGGATTTCATTTATTGAAAATATTCTTAACCTTTTCAAATACACCCTCATTAACAGATGATTATCCTTATGTTTCAACCTTTTCTAACTATAAAATTTATTTAATAACAATACTTTTGCTAATTCTTCAAATAGCTATCTTTATTATTCAGTCAATTTTGTAGGAATTTGAATTTTTAGATTCACAACTTAATCACCTTTTTGATTAGAATTAGGTGCCAATTTTGTAATACCCTTAAATTAAATATATATATTACTAATCCACTTAATCTAATTTTTTCACCATCCTAACTACCTGGTTTGATGCTTATTTATTTTTCTCCATTAAGTGTTTTAATCTTAACCTAATCACCAAGTACTGCCTAAGCAACAGAAATATAAGCATTTGTAATTAAATCATATCCATCTCTTTTGTAATATGAATCTGGTTTAACCTAAACTTTAATTATCAAATCTCCAGCCTTTCCTCCATTTTCACCAATATTTCCTTTACCAGTTACTCTTAAATTCTATCCATCAGCTATCCCTTTTGGAATATTCACAGCTTCAGAAGTAGCTTACTTCTATATTCCAGCTCCTTTACAAGTTGTACCTATTTATTATAAATTTAGATTACATGGATTCTTGATTGATACTCCCGTTCCTCTACATTTAGTACAAGCCATTTATATAGTCATAGCTCCTTATCTGTAATTAATTGAACCTCTTCCACCACAATTAGTACATCTTCCAGGTGCTGTTCCTGGTTTGCATTTAGTTCCATTACAAGTAGAACAAACTCCAATCTTCTCAAATTATATTGTCTATTATGCTCCATTTACACTATCCATAAATGATATTTCTAATTAGATAAAAATATCTGCTCCTTTTATTTATCTTTCTGATTCTCCACCCATATTAAAAAATGATGCAAAATCACCAAAAATTGATTCATCAAATTAGAAATCTTATGCTTTCCCTCCTCTTGCTCCTTATCTAAAAAAGCTACTATATGCTGCAAATGGATCCTAACCTCCTGCCTAATCTTATTCATCTCCTGTCATTCCTACCTAATCATAAACCTTCCTTTTATTATCATCAGATAATGTTTCATATGCACTAATTCATTTTATTTAATTGATACTTGTTAATTTCTGCGAACTTTTCCTTTGCATCTTTAGAAGGATTTGCATCTGGATGATATTTCTTAGCCAATCCATAATAGGCTTTTTTAATGTCATTTTAGGAAGCATTTCTTGGTACTCCCAATAGTTCTAGTTTTAAATTAATATAGATTACCATAAAGATCCTTCTTAGATGAAAAACTAAGAAAAGGTACATTTGTGAATCTTTTTAGAACGTTCCTAGTTAATAATTGCATTGTCAACCGGAAATAAATTAAGTTATTTTATAAATTTATTAAATGATTTATATTGTGAATCATAAACATATTAACAATTTTGCATTTTTGATATAATATCTAAATAATCCAGACATTATCAGTTTATGTTTAATAATAATTTTTATAAAATTATAATTGTAAGATTCTTTAATTATATTAATATGATTATAATAAGAATAATAATATTTTTATATTTATTAATAATAATAGATGATTGAACTAATTAAAATCAATACATTTTTCTTTAAATATGCATATTATTTCTATTTTTTAATATATTTTCCAATTATGCACTTTTTCTTAATTTTTCTTAATCTTTTTCTTTATTTTTGTGTTACATAAACATTTACATAATAGTCATTTTAGTATTTTAATATTTTGGTTAATCTGGAGATCTAAATGGATTAATATTTTAACAATTGCTGAGATTTGAATTTTTAGGAGATTCAGAGGACATTGTTTTTTCAATTCTTTAACTATCACTATTTTTTAATTTTGGTCTATCTGTTAAATTATTATTTATGAAACTATTATCATTATCTTCAAAAAGATTGAATAATTTTTAAATTAATTATTTAAAATCTTTTCCTTCTTTATCATCTGATTTTCCTACATATAAACCTATTAATTAATAAATGACAGTCAAAAATTAATATAGTTTATTATTATTCATTAAATTTTGAGATTATGACATATTATCATAAATTGATTTTTATAAATTATTTTAACTATTGAAAGCATCAAATAAATTTTATGTTAATTTCTTTTATTCATCTAATTATGCTTATAAAGTTGAAATTTAATATTCATATAAATCTTTATTAAAAGTGGATGTATTATGTTCATCTTAATTTTTAATTCTTCTGCTTGGTTATAATGATGAATATTAAGAAACATTTTCTGTTTCTGCTAAACTTTATTTTAATTTAGTAATAGTTTCTGATTTATCTGATATCTCATCCTTTAATCTTTCAATTTCTCTTCTTAGATTAGTTATTTCTTATTGATTTAAATTATCTTATTATTTTTATAGAGCTTTAACTTTATCTAATTCATTTTAATATTATTTTTATTTCAATTCTGAATTTTAAATAAGTGCATCCTTTTCATTTAATTAATCATTATATGATTTTTCAATTTATTTCAATTTATTCATATATTCACTTACTTTATTATCCACAGTTGTTTGAGATTATAAAATTTATTATTGTTATCTTAAATTCTTATTTTTTTCAGATTCTAATTCTATCCTTAATTAATTTTTATCCTTTTCTATTTATGTAATTTTCTCATATAAATCATCTTCTTATTTTTTATATCTATATTTCTACTCTTTAAAATCTTCTTATATCTAATTTCCATTATCACATTATTATCTTAAATATAAATTTGTTATTACTTTAATTATAATGTTAATTTCTTGAATTCAAATTAAATCTTATTCATTACATTTTATTGTATCTATTGAATATAATCAATCTATAAATTTTGATTAGCACCACTATTCCAAATAATAGATTATTTTTAATTCCATTCAACCACTAATTCCCAAATATTATCTTATTATTATTATTCATTTAATTTATTTAAAAATTATATCTTAATTTCCTCTAATTATTCTTCATGTTTCTTATTTAATCTTTATTATGCATCAACATATAATTCTTAAATTTATTACTTAATCATTTTCTTAGCTGTATTGAATTCTTCACTTTCCTTGTCTAAACAATTGTTTTCTAAATAATACTTTACTTTTCTCAAAAACTATACATAAAAATTAAGATATTTTACAATATTATGAGATTTCTCTAATTATTCCTATGATATTCCATTTTATTGTAATAATTCATCTATACTTTCTTTATAAATTTTCAAACCTCCTATAAGTGTTCTATTCAATTCTTATTTACAAATCATTTACCATTATGTTTCAATAACTGGCATATTACCTTCATTTATAGTATTTACAAAATGTCTATAATGATAATCAATAATAAATATTACTTGCACATTTCAACAAAACTAAAAGGTGTAGTTGGTTTTCCTTTGTATTATTTTAATGAAATTTTATATGAAAATTTCTTTCTTAAAGCAGTCAATTATTCTTAAAATTCAGTTCTCAATTCTGTAAATTTCAACAAAGATAAATGCTATAAATCTTTTTCATCTTATGTGGGTCTGACTAGTGTCATACAATCACGTTCTTAAAAAAATTATGTAATATGTCTTCTTATTTTATTTTTATTTTCTATTGTTTCACTAAATCCTTTTAATGGTTTTAATGCATTTTCTAAATAATCCTTTGGTGTAATTTTATTTCCAAATTCATCTTCTAATCTTAATGTAAAATCTCTAAGGATCCATAAAAATGAAGGAAAAGTCTCAAATAAATCTTTCTGAGTTGATTCATCAGTTTTTTATAACATTTTAGTTAGATTAACCTAATGAATAGTAAATAGATGTATACAATTAATCCTAAATTTTATAATGCCATATCATCTATAGTTCCAACACTATTATATATAAAATATGAGCTCATCAACATTGCCAATAGAAATATTTTAACATCATGATTTTATTCTTCTTCCAATGAACCTATACCTTCTGTATCAATTAAAATAGCAGGTATAGATTCTTTAGATCTTCCAGATTCAAAATGAATAATTTCACTCCACATCCATAATCCCTATTAATATTTTATATCCTTTTAATACTTTTGTGCAAGCATTGACTGTACTTCCAACATTAAATCCTTAATTCTATTGTAATAGTACTTAATTAATTAGATAACTCTTTCCTGTTCTATATTTACCTACAACAACTACAACTGCAAAATTCTTGCATTTATCACTAAATGATTAGATTATTTCAATAGCTTCCTATTCTAACTTAAGTTCTGATTATATTATGTATATTATTACATTTATTTTCATCTACTGATATTAATTATACTGCTCTTGGTCCTTTATTCATAAAATTTAAAATTCAAATATTTATTTGTATTGTTAATATTTAAAATACTAATACACTTACTAATTTTAGATCTATTTTAAATTATATATATATATATAATATATAGATGACTTTAATGAAATTAAGAGTATTTAATAAATATTCTAAATTCTATTCTTAATTCAAATTAAGAATGATAATAATATTATAGTTATATTTATAATAAGAGATATTTATGAATACTCAAATAAGGAGATCATAAAGTTGATCTAATCTATTTAATTCAATTAATAATATTTAATAATTTATCATAAATGTAATATATATATATTAATATTAATCATTAAAGTATTGTTTTTGGAATGAATTTAGTTAGATTTGAGTATTCATTATATGATATTATAATTAATCACTTGATAAACAAAATTTTAATTAATATGGCTTCTTAAAGTGAAGAAAAAGATTTGATAGGATCCATATTAAGTGGTAATGATGAATTCATTATTGTAGATTAAGATGACAAACAAGAAATCATTCCCAAAAAAGCAAGAAAGAACTTATCTTTAAAATCAAAAGAATTCGATCCACAAATTCATCCAAAACATTAAGAATTTCAAACTTCAAATGCAAGTATATTATCTACAGGATATTAATCGCAGTAGAAATAACGAATATTTTTCTAGACTTAAACATCAATAGAAATGTATATATATATGTTTATAATCAAATAATTAGTTAGTCTTAATTTTCTAGTGCTGTATAATAAACTGCAGATTAAGATAATAATACTTGTTCATTTGATCATTTTTAATGTATTAATCATATCAAGTATTTATAGCCTTTGATTCCTTTGGTTAGTTACAAAGAAAACAATCAACTAAAAAGCATCATACTATGCAACCCATAGAATATTAAAATCCTTCTTTGATATTCACCAGTGATTAATGTATAGAGGGTAAATTATCCTTGAGTTAAACAGACCTTGTAAATTGATAATAATTATAATAAAGGAATAAATCTGTGGAAATTAATTAATTAATAGAAAGCTTCAGAACATTTTGGATAGCAATGATATCAATACTAAAAGAGTGATTTTTAATCAAATTGAAAAGATTTGTTTGAAGGCTTCAAAAGATATGTTTGGAAATTACACAGTTCAAAAGATTTTTGAGGTTGGAAATTAAGATTAGAAACAACGAATATATAATCTGTTGATTAATAATATCTTTGATTTATCAAAAAATTTATATGCTTGTAGAGTAGTACAGAAAATGATGGAATTTATAAAGTATTTAAATTACTATTTATAAGAGATCATTATGAGTAAGTAGATATATTCATATAAAATATGAATCCTTATATAAGTCAATTATTAAATGATCCTAATGGAAATTATGTCATTCTTTCATGTTTTGAATTATTTAACAAGAATTAACTAATCTTTATGATTCCATAAATATAAGATTCAGTAAACTATTAATTAATAATTTTAGTTGTTTTTTATGTCAAAATAAACTTATGGTTGTAGAGTAATTTAAAAAGTGTTAGAGATATATCCAATAGAATTAACCTAAAGAATTATGGATATTTTGATGACTCTTGCATGTTAATTATGTTATTAGGAATTTGGAAATTATATAATATAGTATCTATTAAAGAGTGGACCTCCAAAAGAGAAATAAATCATCTGTTAGATTATTAAGGATAATTTTGAATAATTAAGTATAAATAAATTTGGAAGTAACACAGTGGAAAAGTATATAGATATTATGGGGCCGAATTAAATTATAAAAATTTTATGTTCAATTTCAAATGATTAGTAATTCAACTATTGTATGTTAGATTTGTATTTTACAATTTGTCTATCAATCCTTTTGGAAATTATGTTATGAAAAAAGTATTAATTAGTGGAGATCCATCTGTATAGTATTTAAAAAACTTATTGAAATAATATCCAGATATTGTACAAAGAATTAAAAACTCTGATTTCGGATAAAGAGTTGGATTAATTATGGATGCATTATGAGTGATCATAAACTTATAATAGTATCTTGCTTTTGAGTATTATTCTATCCAATTTTAATTATCATATTTATCTTAATTATAATAAATAAAACTTAATATTCATTATTAATTCTTAAGTTTTTTAAAGGACTATTAATAAAAATGATGATTTTTCTTGTTTATCTAGAATTTAGGATCAATATCTTCATCATTATCAACATATTCATTTACATCATATGATATGTATTATAAATATAATCCTGCTGGTTTCTAATTACTTTATTCAAGTATATTAAAAAACGATTATATTTTAAAAATAATATCTTCTATCCTTTCATTTTTTTGATTCAATAATTTAATTACATTAATAAAATAAATTTTATTTATAGTTGATCCAATCTACAATTAATAAATAGAATACTTTGATTCATATAGGATTATAAATACCCTTAACAAAATTAGAACTATCATATTCACACAATCTAGTTCTGTCATCTACCCATAGAAAATTAGTATTTGAATGATAATATTTATTTTCATCATTTAATTTAATAAATGCAGATTCATATTTAAATGCAAAATATTTATGTGACACCCATCATTATTTACCCTTATATTTATGAAGTGTATCAATGACCTTTTTTGAATAATTTGCACTTAAAAGTAATCTCAAATCCCTTTTATTTCTATTTAATGAATTTATTAAATCTCCTCTATAATTTAATGTTCCATCTTTTTCTTATAATTATGTTCTAGGTTTTGCAAATTATTAACAAGTTCTTCCAATTACTAATGCATTTAATTTTTAACCCATACTCTTCATTATTTATATTTTATTCATCATAAAATCTAAATTTCTCTTTCCGACGTTCTTCTCTATATTCATAATATACTTCTGCACTATCTCCTAAGTATAATTCAAATTTATCTTCCATACTTACCTTTATCATTTTATTCTTAAAATTATTTATATCATCAAAATTTAAGATTCCTGGAAGTTTTCTTAATTTTTAAACTGTCTCCTCACCATTATAATTGATTTGAATACTATAAATGTTAATCTTAATACAATTGCTATTACAATTATGGATATTACTTCCAATTATCCAGATTCCATTCATTCTCTTAATTCATTAATTAATTAATTTTTAATTTTGGTTCACCATGAGCACTATTTAACCGAAATACGCAACATATTAAATAGATGGCACTGGTATTCATCATTTCAATTTCTATATTTAGGTAGAGATATGTATATATCATTTAACAATGGTGGAACTCTTAAAACTATTCCAACCTATAGCCAGTAAAAATATCATAGTGTCACTCCTCAAAGAAGAAACCAAAGAAGTATTAGTAATAATACAAAAATGATTCATTATCATAATAATGGAACTGGAAGAGATCTTTATATTTCGTAAAATTATAAACTAATATTTAGTTAAGACTCTGATCTATCTAATACATCCTTCTTAAGAGGTTTACGTAATTATGAAAGAACCTATCAAACACCCAAAAAATTTAGAATTAGAATTAATAAATATATATGATCGTTTTATAATTAAAATGCATACTAATTAAATTCTTATCGTTAAAAATAATAAATAAAATTTATTTACAAAATATCCCTTGCACATATATACATATCTACTGATTTCTTAATTTGATTTATTAAAATTATAGAATTATCTTAATTTTGTTTAAAATATAAAACATATTATTATTCTTACTATTGGTTTCATTAAAGAAAGATAGTAACATTTTAGGAGAAATGAACTTAATTTTATGATTCTTTTTAAGAAAATTAAAAATAAAATGAAATAATAATAAAAAATCAATACGATTATTTTTTTGAATAACAATATGAATCTTATATAGAGTAGTATTAAAATTAAAAAATATTTAATTGATCTTAGAAAAACAAAAATAAATGTTTATATAATTGATGAAAGAAAAATAGAATGTATAAAAAATGAATGATGATTTATCAATTTTATGTTATAAAAATTAGGTATAATTCATTTGCTAAGCATGAACAATAGAAACAATAAAAGATGATAGAAATTCTAAAGATTTCTTTTAAATGAGAATTTATTAATTATAACAATTATGGTAAATAACTAAGATTATATAAGGTGAAATTTATAGAATTTAAGTTTATTATCAATTAAGATGGTTTAGACTTAGTAAATGAAATTTATGAAGAATCTTATTGAAAAGCAATAATTCAAATTTATGCATTCTTTAGTTTTGAATATATTTTGATCTTTCATTCACTTTTTTAAATTTAAACTTTTGTATAATAAATAAAATATTATTCTTTGAACATAAAATTCTGTGAGAAATTTTGATTTTTGTTGTTAACAAAAATAATAATATTGTTAATATTAGATGTTTTTATTGAATACTTATAGTTTATGATGACTTATAAATTAAGTATTCAACAAATTATATTATAAAATATGATGAAATATAGAAATTCAAGTTGTAATTTCTTTCCAAATACTATATCCTATCAACAATTACATTAGTAATTTTAACTTCTAAATTAACTTTATATTTCTGTTTAAAACACACTAATCCTTTATTTAAGTTAAAATTGAATATTTAGATTATAGATAATAGTGGATTATTTTGTTTAATAAATAGTAATAAAATTCAGAAATATTTTAATCGTTAAATAATTCAAAATGGACTCTCTTTATACTTTATTTGATTAGTTTATAAGAATCAATTTGATAAATTATCCATAAAATTAATAAGCATACATATTAGAAAGTTGGGAATTATTTTTAAGATTATTATAAACTTAACCTCTTGATTATGGAAAAATTTATACATTAATAAATAGAATGACTTATGAAGATTTAACACCAACAAAAAATGAAAGATAAAGTTCTAGTTAAAGATAATAAGCTAGAAATATTACTGTAGCTTCTTCCCCAAGAATAATTTCATCATCTGTGTCAAAAAATAGTATTGAAATTGATATATTAAATTTAAGGTACCAACTTATTATAAAAAATATCATAAATGGACAATGTAGTTAGTCCAAAAATTACAGTCTCCAATCTTACTTGTTAACAATCATTAATTAATAAAACATCATAGTAATAAAATGTAAAATAATAAGTATTGTTTCATGATAAAATAGTAAATGTCAGAAGAGTTTAACAAACATCTTTTATTGAGTAAAATTAAAGAGTTATAGTTTAATTATTCTGTTTCTACAGATAAGCTATATGCAATTGCAAAAATATTATAATAGAAAGATTGTCAGCCAACGTCTAAATCACCGATTAAATATCCATTAACATAATATACTAGTAAATCTAGAGGAAGTAATCATAGTGCAGAACATTATAAAATTGTTGCTTGATTTCTAATAGTTACTTTTTTTTAAAATTTATTGAAATAGGTTAAACAATTATTTCCCAATTAATTCTAAATTTATATAAAAATAGTAAAAAAATTAAATTAATAATAAAAATTTCATTATAATATATAAGTGCTTCTTTTTTTCAATTTTATAAGTAAGATTATTATAAATACAATTAGTTACTTCATTGTTTATATTTATTTTGTTTTTAGAAGTAAGAATATATGTATTAATTTATTTGAATTTTTTCTATTAAAACATTTTAATGAATACTAGACAATTAGCAAATTTATAAATTCTATTTAGTGATATTAGAATTCTAAAGAGAATAATAAGAATATTTTCATGTTTAACATGTTTAGGAGAATGAATAAGATAGACATATTCAAATTAATAGAATAAATATTTATATATATATAATTATTTCAATTTAGGATAAGATGCTAAATATTCTAATTTTTGTAAGCTATGATATTAGAAATTAAAATTTGATTACTAATTACAGATTATCCACGAATTCATAAAATTTTAATTGAATCTCATGAATTTTATGTCACTGTTTCGAATAGAATTAATTATTTTTTTTTGAATTATTATTCATGTAATTTAAACTTTAATCAATCAATCCTTGTTATTCTTAATTAAAATAAAATATGAAATTTATTTCGTAAGATGGATAAGCGTTCGAAGTATCTATTTTTTTTAATTAGATTACTGAATATGCACTTAAGCATTGTACTAAGTTAAGTAAAACTAATTCAGAAATATTTAATTTAACTTCCACAAACAGTAATATATTGAGAAAGGTGGTTTAGTATTGTGAAATGCATTAAGGAAATGATTTTATCCCAGAAATTAAAAAACCTTTGAAATCAAATAATATGTAATTGATATTCTTATTGTTAGGTTTGAAATTGTGAATTTTATAGATGCTTAATATATTACTAATCTTGAATTTGAGGAAATATTTCAAATTATTTAAGTAGCTTAAATTCTTGGTATCAATACATTAATTGATCTATCCTGCGCATATATTTCCACAAAAATTAGAGGTAGAATATCATTAAAATTTTAGGGAAAAGTTCAGAATAAATAAAATCCTTATTCTCTTCTAATAAAATTAAAACCGATGAAGAATTTTAAAAGTAAAGAGATAACGAAAATTTGGCTAAAAGATAACTAATACAAACATCAGATTGACAAAAAGACTTATAGGAAATATTGTATTTAATATAAATAAATTAAATAAAAGGATTACATAATTTTTATCACTATTTATAGTATTTAATAATTATATATTATTATTTTATAAAGTTTATAAAGAGATATATATTCATTAAATAAGATATCTTTTATTTAAAGTTTAGTTTGATTAATTTATATTATAACAATCTAATTAAATTATTGGGTGTAATTCAAATGTCTTAACATATACTAATATCTCTTATTTTTATAATACTTGATTAAAGAAAAGAATTTAAACAACAAAAAATTTGCTGAATTTAATATTAAAAAAAATGGTTAAAGTAGATATAATATTTAAACAATAGAAATTTATTTAATTATGATTATTTTTTATTTACAAAACATATAAATATAGTATTTAATCATTTAGGATTGTTCACGTCTTTAATTAATTTTGGTAATCCTTTACTTCTTTTTTATAATTTACTAACATAAATGTTTATATATACCTTTTAGAAGCGAACAAGAGATTAATATTGGCTAGCAATATTTAGTATGGAATTGTTGGTAATTTATTTGTCTTCTTCTCAGGATGTTTGAATTGACATCTTTCTCCATAACAACAATAACTTTTAATATTTATTATTATTTATACCCATCTTAAGTGTAATTTTTACAAGTTTTAGTCTTGTAATTAGAGGGAACATGGATTTTTTATCTCACTTCATCTTTTCCATGAGCAAAGGCACACTAATTTTAAATTATATATAATACTTATTAACCATAAGGACAATATCCTTCAATGGCCCAATATTTACAAACCTAAACAGGATTTATTAACAAATTTACTTCAGTTTTAACTTTTACTTTATAGGAAACCTTTTTATTCTTTTTATGATTAGAGATTACTTCATCCAATTATTCATCTTAAATACTCTCACTAATTAATTAAATATGTGTTATACCAACTCTTTGTAGAATGATTGCTATCAAATTCATCACATGAAACTTGTTAATTCATTTTAAATAAAGTAATTAATATCTTATTTTAAAATCTTAATAATATTATTAAAGCCAATCCAGGCTATATAAATTAAAGATAATGCGTATTTTAATAATATTATTAAAACATTAGAAATTGCCGGGATTACTAAATTTAAATACCTGGATCATCATCTTAAATGAATTTAAAGAATTTATGAATTAAAATTAATTCTGCAATTCCTATACCTCATTAATCACTAAAATCATGCTTCTAATACTCTTTAATATCATTTTGATATTTAAATAAGTGTCTATTTATATATATATATAGTTAAGAAAGAATGTGAAAGAATTTATTTATAAGTAAAAGTGGAAATGGAAATATATTTAGATCATAATAAAGTATTTATTCAATTCATATTTTCTAAAAGTAATAATTTTATAAGTATTTTTTTGTATTTTCATTGTAATAAATATCATACATTTATAATTCATTATTACAATAGGTTATGATATTATTATAATGTATTCTTTTGAATTAAATTATCAATATAATATCAAATAGATATTTATTAAAATAAAATGAATTGAACTCATTAAATGTGATATCAAATAAATCATTAATGTTAATTATAATAATATTCATAAGTATAAATATATTGATTAAATAATTCTAAAACAAAAATAATTCACTTTATTTTGTAATAATTATATAATCCCACAAAATATCAAATAATTACATCTTTATATATTATAAAATCGAGATAATTCTAATATGTAGAATGATAATTATAATAAACTCAAACTTCCTAACACATTCCTTAAGTAGGAATTATTAATTCTTATAGATTATGTGATGTTAATTAAAAATTAAACCCTTCTTATTCTCTCTAATTTTAAGATTATTATTTTTCACTAAGGGCTTAATTTCTAATGCTTTCATTCTCATTTTCACTATCAGCATCAAATTAAAATGCATCCTCTAATTCTGACTATTTAACTTTTCTTGGATTCTATTTTTTACTTTTGCTAATTGTAACTGTAGTCTTAGATGCTTTCATTTTAATATTTTACTTCTGATTTGAATTTTTTTTAGAATCAGATTTAACTACTTGATTGGGAAAACTGATAGGATAATCAGAATTTATCTCTCCTAAACCTTAATTTTAGATTGTCAAAGGTTTGTTTCTAAAATATTTTCTCAAATATAATCCTATAAAAGTTAGAAGCAAAAAGAGCAAAACGACAATAAATAGTGTTTACGACATTATTTAAATATTTCAATTAAATACTTATTGTTATTATTTCGATGCCACTATCTTAAAATTTAATGTGATTATTTGTACTATTCTTTTTAAATCAATTCACTTGTCAATTTTATTCATAACTAGTCTCAATAATATTAAAATTATTGATTTAATTATAAAATTATGTGAGTTTCTATTCATCTGATTTATATTAATTTTATCCTTATTTTTAATTTTTAATTTTTGTTATTGTTATTGATATTAATATTACAAATCTTATTTATTAATCTATTAATCAACTTAATTATTGAGTATTATTTCATTTATTATTATATTGATTAAACTTATCAGATTGAAATTCTAAATAATATATATGTATCAGTTGGCTTCTATTAAATTTATATAAAAAAGATTTATAGAATTAAGGATTTCAGGAAAAAGAGAATTATAAAGATATTTTTTATAATTTATTTTATAGATTTGATTTCTAGTAGGAATGCAATTATCTCAAAATTTTGATTATGACTTTATGTAAAAATACATAAATTCATTATGATATATATTATTAAAATATTAAATGGATCAATAAACAGAGGAAACATTAAATTTAGGAATAGATGTTTAAGTGTGTGATCCAATAGTAAAGAAAGATGGAATAAAAAATTATGTAGTATACACACTTAAAGGTTAAGATAAAGATGGCCAATTTGAAGTAATACGTCGATTCAATGAATTTGATTGTTTTAGGTATATTTATATACTATGTAGAACGACTCTTCAAATACGATGGCCTGGATGTTATGTTCCTCCATTACCAATCAAGAAACCAGTTGTAAGTGTTCTAACTTATTCAAAAGGGAAATATGGATTAAAAGTTTATTGATGAGAGAATGCATTATCTCAATCTTTTCATGAATAAATTGACAACAATTAATCATTTATGGTATTCTGAAGAAACCAAACTCTTTATTAAGGGTGGTGGAGATATTGAAAAAGTAATCATATATCATTATTTCTTTTAGCAATTATTAGCTTTATAAAAACCAACTCCTGGTGATATCATATATAAATATGAAACAATATTCAAAGATTTTTCAGGCAAAGAAATAAATGATCAATTACTCTCTAAGATTGGGAATTTCTCTTTGTTTTTAAAGAGGATTCAACCATAATTAGAAACATTTTAATAATAAGCCAAATAACTTGTTTAATCGAGGTAGACATCTTAATCATTATACAAGAATTTAATGTCAAGAAAATATGAATCTATTATTAGATTATTTAATGCCTGAATACGAAAAGAATTGTTTAACAGAATATGTTGTTAATCCTGAAAATAAACTTGTTTTTGTTTAACATAATACAGAGTTATACCAATAATATGTTTTATATTTTTTATTTATTTTTAGCGAGCAGCCAATGAAAAGAGTGCCCTTGATAATTTTGCATTATCTATTAAAATAGAAACAAGAGACATTGATGCTGTCCTTGAAGCTATATAATGCAAAGACAAATATGAATAGATTAAATAAAACTATTTGACTAAATTATGTAGTTTGAGCAATGAAAAAAAAGATATTGAGAATGGCAAAACTACATTGAAATCCTTTTTCAATTCAAATAAAGAGGAATTTATTCAAAAAACATAGCAATAAATTGATAATGTAATTTTATTATTATATTATTCTTAAAAGATCCAAAAAGAGATTGAATAGTTGACTATCCTATGTGATATGATAACCATAATATTAGGATATTTTATTATACCAAAATATAAAGTATTCTTCATTTTAACTTATTTTTAGTAAGAAAAAGAGAAAAATTATTACTAATTATTAAGACAAATGGCACAACATCAAGTTTAAAAAGCATAAGCAGAAAGAAATTATTGGTTAGATTTAGATAAGAATCAAATGTTTATGGAAGTTTGAAATTGATATATATATATAAATATAACAAATATTAAATTAATAATATTAGAGAGATGAAATCAAATACAACTTATCTAAATTCACTAATATTCAATATTCCTATTCATTATAATTTAGACACCTTCCTAATTTTTCAATTTCCTTCCAATACAAACTCATTATAAACATTTTTTTGTGTTTAAGAATTATATAACAGAATAATATTTAATTCTATACTTTATAGGAATTCATTTGACCTTCACACTTTAATTTTATAATGCTATCAATTTATATTTATAATAATCTATATATATATCAATTTTATTAACTTTTGATTTTTACTCTGATATCATTATTTATGATTTGCTTCAAACATTCAATTGTAAACATAAAATTTCCTTCTCTTATGTATGATACAAAGTTCTCTACTAATTTCTTTTTATCATCTTCAGTTTTTACATCCATAGGATCATACTTTACCTAATAATAGTATTAGTATTTACTACCTGAGGATTAGGATAGCTTGGTTGTTATTGTTGCAATTTTTATTGGATCATCTAAGGAATATTTGGATTTTAAGCAAAGGCTTGATTTTAAGCAAAGGCTTGATTTTAAGCAAAGGCTTGATTTTAAGCAAAGGCTTGATTTTAAGCAAAGGCTTGATTTTAAGCGAAGGCTTGATTTTAACCAACAATTGGATTTTAACCAGCATTTGGATTTAGAGAAAAAGGTGGATTTTAACCAACAATTGGATTTTAAGCAAAAGTTGGATTTTAACCAGCATTTGGATTTAGAGGAAAAGGTGGATTTAGAGGAAAAGTTGCTTTAATTTCGGGCTTTTGTTAATTAGTTTATGTTTGTAGTTGTTGATTTACAGCATTTGTGTTTGGTTAGACAGGTATTGGTTTAAAGCCAGGATTAGCTGATGGATTATTATTAGTTTGAGGAAAAAGCTATCCCTGTCCTTTTTGTGGATTCTACAAATTCTATTAATTTTTGAACTAATCAGTGGGTTATAAGTTGAATTTTGGTGGTTGGCCTTATTGTTGGCCTCCTGATGGTTAGAAATTTACAAATTAAGGTTATTAACCTTGGCCAGTTTATTGAATCATACCGAATGATTAAACTTGAGGTTATGGACCTTATCCAGATGGTGTAATCATTCCAAATTATTGAGGTGCTACGTTATTTTGATTCGTTTAAGCTTTTTATGGAAAAGAAACAGGCAATTGCTAATTCTATTATGGATTCATAAAAAAAATATTAAATAATTTTAATAAGTATTAGAACTTTAATATATTAAAAAAAATTATTAATAATCTTTATGAGACCAAAGCCTAAAAATAATAAGGAATAACAAAATGTAGAAGAATAATAGCCTTAACATGTAATAAAAGAGGAGAAACCTATCAGTGATAAATATTAGGTGAAATATAATTCAAAAACTTAATTGAGATTGGATGAGAAAGAGAGTTTTGTATTAGGAGTTCCAGGAACTAAAATTTATAGTGTAAAATGGGATGCTGATGATAAATATATTGCTTGTGCATGTGAAAATGGGACAGTTCGAATTTTCAATGTTAGAAAAAGATAACTGTCTTATTTGATCAATTCTCTTATGCCTAATATTCCATTTTCATATGTAAAATGGAGACCTTAAGCATAATAATTTAAGACTAGAAATATATTTGTAACTGGAAATACAAAAGGTGAAGTGTAACATTGGCATATGACTAGTGGAAAATGTTTGGGAACAATGAAAGAAGATAATTCTGATATCTATTGTATAGATTATAATTAAGATGCTACAAAATTGGCAGTATGTGGATTAAATCCAATTATACGTATTCATGATGAAGAAAAAAGAGTAGTTGATGTTAGATTAGGAGTTGAATAAACATAACCTCCAGGTCATAATAATAGAGGTATATTAGATAAATATTATATATAATAGTTTATTGTGTTAAATTTCATCCATAAAATCCTAATATGCTTATATCAGGTGGTTGGGATTATAGAGTATTAATATGGGATATTAGATAAAAGAAGCCAGAAGCTAATTAGATATATGGTCCATTAATTTGTGGTGATGGTATAGACATGAGAGAATCATTTGATGGATAATAGTTATTGACAGCTTCATGGTCATAAGAGAAACAATTATAAACATGGGATTTAAGAACTTGTAAACTTATTTGTAATTTTGATTGGAATTCTCAAATAAAGGTTAGCAATCAACCTTGTTAATTATATAGTGGATAATTTTCAAGATAGTTTGATAATTAATTAACTTTGGCTGGAGGTTCAGGAGAGAATGAAGTGAGAATATTTGATTCTTAAGATTTTGATAATGCTTAAATATGCATACATGATCTATGTAGAGAAGTTAATACTGTAGATTGGGCACATAAAGATTCTAGATTTGCATTTTCAGGTGGTGATGGATACTTGAGAATATTTGAAATATAATAAATAAATTGAATTAATGTAAGAACGGTTTATGAGGGCTATTCAAGAATTGGATACCCTTTTAAGAGAAACTGAAACTGGCAAGATTAAACTTAGTCTTACTCTTAAAGATCTAGCATAATTGCATCACTTATAATCCAGACTTTAGGAGTGTAAGTTTCTGAATTCAATCTATTCAGAGGAGAGTAGAATTAAGTAACAATATTAAATGAATATTAAGATAATACCTTAGTAGAGCTGTGACAGTTAATCTATAAATATAAGAAGAATTATGTTAAATTATAGAGACAAAAATGGAATCTATTACAGTATTTGATTTAATAAAATAATCTAGTCAAACTTCAATCATTTAGATAAATTGATTCTCTATATATTGAATTAAACAATGAATAAAACAACTATGAAAAATGTGCTTAGATAATTTAGCAATATTATTTTGGGTAGCAATAATTTCACTTTGCTTCGATTTTAAGAAAAATCTGTAGAAAGTGTGTCTACTGATGAATTTATTGAAGTAAATTAATATAATCAAATTAGTAATAACTAACAGAACAATAAAAATTACAACTTTATTAATAATTTCATGGCGATCAACTTGAAATCATCACTTTCTAACCTACTGGGCAATTAAAATAGATTTTCAAATGCAGTTCTTTACAAATTATCAGAGTCCCATAAAAATTGAATGCTTAAACTCATTCTTCACTTATTATATATGAAACATAAGAATGTGCTAAATTACCATTATCAAAACCTCATTAAATTAAATTGATTTGTGATCAACTTATTACTATAGGTTATGATTATTTAAATGAGAATTACCAGTAAACATTTTTACTCAATATTATTTTAGTAAAGATGACTTAATTAATTCAGTTAGAGCGATAGGGTAATTTTTAATTAAAAATGCTCCAATCTTATTTTAGGAATGCATTAAAATTGAAATAGAAAGAAAACTCAACACTAAATGGTAACAATTTAATATTATTAAAAGTGAAATTATATAATCAACTAAACACTCAAAAGACACTAGTTTTGCAATTTTAGAGAATTAAACTAAATGTTTTATACCAGTTATGTCGAATCATGTTGTTTAATTCTATTTACATATGGAAAATGTTTCATTAGATATAATTACTTTTGCAGATTTTGTATTTATCCATCTAATCTAAATTAGATGTCATAATTATGGTAGCATTTTAAGCATTCCTTAAGAGAATTAAAAGATAAAGAATTTTTATATTAAATAATTGAGGTAAGTACACCAACAAAATTAGTAATTGCTTCAGATTTACATCTAAATATTATTTATTAGAGTGGTTCTGTTCCATCATCATGGAATTTTTTGGATCTTAGTAATTAATAAATAGATTGTTATTAAAACTTAACAGAAATCAAAATGGAAGAAAATTATAAAAGTATGTTACTTTCATCCTTAAATGAAGTTTAAAAGAGTAAAAAAGGTGCAATAGATGCTGGTTAAATAATTTATCATGATAAATATGTAGATATAGCAATTTATGTAAAAAAAGATGAAAAAAATGAAATTAATTAATTTTTTATTGTTTTTGATTAACCAAAGAAAAGATTTGAATCACAACGTCAATCTAAAAGTGAAATAAAAGTATCAGAAACTCTGGCAAGTTTAAAATAAGAGAAGATAGAAAAAGCATGTTTAATTTTATAAGAATAATTAAATTTGAATCTATAAACAGAAGAAATTATAGATATGCTAAAAGAACATGCATTAATGACAATAATAGAATAAAAAGAATAAATAACTGAAGATATAAGATAAACTTATGTTTTAGAATATTATAGAAACTCTGAATAAGTGTAAACTTATCGCAGGACAATAAGTGAACCCGATACTCCTTTTGCAACTAAAACTTTGATCTAAGAACAATAATTGACTAATGCAAAAAGTATTAAATTATCTATATATAAATAGAAATGGAACTCTTTTAATTAAGACCTGATGATTTAGAAAATTTGAATAATTGGTGTTTTGATATCACAGTATAAAAAGATTAAATAAAACATTATACTTGGGCCTTATTTCATTTATTAAACTATTTTGATAAATACTAGATGTATAAGGAAACATTTTTTCAATTTTTAGTTGCAATAGAAGAGAGATACAACAGTCGTCGTAATCCTTTTCATAATTTTGAGCATGGTTTTACTGTCGCTCATGCATGTTATTATATGATAAAGAATAAACTATTAGATGAATATTTAGATTAAACTGAATAATTTGCAGCAATATTATCATCTCTTTGTCATGATATAGATCATTCAGGTAGAACAAATGGATTTGAAGTTGCAAGAATGTCTAAATTAGCAGTACGATATAATGATGAAAGTGTATTAGAGAATCATCATGCTGCAATGACATTTAAAATAATGTAAAGAGAAAAATATAATATTTTATCTAATTTATCACAAGAATAATTTTAAAAAGTTAGAAGATTTATGGTTTCTAATATATTAGCAACAGACATGAAAAAACATTTTGATTTAGTTTCATCATTAGAGATTAAATATAAAAATGGAGAAATGAATATAATTAATATGGAAACTAAAAGAATATTATCAGGATTAATTGTTCACACTTGTGATTTAACATAACCTACAAAAAGATTTGAAATTACAAAGAAATGGTCAATAAGAATATAAAATGAATTTGATAATTAAGTAGAAGAAGAAAGATTATTAGGATTACCAGTTACTTAACATTTAGTATGCTAAAATTTACCAAAATAAGAATTGTCATTTATAAGAGTATTTAATATATATATAAAAATTAGAATATCATTTAACCATTATATACATTAACATCGTCAATTTTGAATAATGGATTATCAGTTGCATTAAAGTGTTTAGAAGAGAATGAGAAAGAATGGACAAAATTACTGAATTGAAAAACGAATATTGAATTGATTGATTTAATAATAATTATGTTTTATAGTTACGATAGTTAAACTATTTTTTTATTAGTTTCTAAAATTAATCTATATGATCATAATAATCATGGTTGTACTTTTATAAATAATGATGAAAATAAATAAATAGATATTAAATCTGTTATTAATATTTTACTTAAGAAGTTGTTTTTATTATAGATTTTGAGTATTGACTTTATATTTTTTAAATATTAATTTTTTATATTTCTTTTTAAGATCATTATCTTCAAAACAATTATTATTTAACTAGAAAAATAACTAAATATATAATATTTATATTAAATAGAGAGTTTTAAGAATGAAATTTAATTCATATGATTTTCTATTTAATCTAATCAAAAATGGTAATATATTCTTAAAATAGGAAACTAAAAAATTATAATTCTTTTTTTAAGATATTTTAGTAATATAAAATTCTATTAGATATAAAAAATAATTAAAATAAGTCCATATATTTATTGTAATGATATTAATACATAATCAGATTAGTTTTTATTTTGAGAAATTTATTTAGATAGGTTTACCATCTAATTCTAGTCCATTATTTTTAACTAAAACTGTTAAAGCAATTTCAGTGGTTGCAAATTTGAGAATAGCCATGTATTTCATTGCATTAGTGATGATTTTGAATTATTTGATTATTCCATATTCTTATAAATACTATTAAAGTAAATTTAATTAACAAGAATTCTTTGTTAAGTTAGACACTTAAATAGTGTCACATGGTGGTGCTAAAGTATAAGTACTGTCAGGTTTAATTCTATGAGTTTCTTCTCCTCCTTAAAAGTATTCCTCTTAAGCTTTAAGATCTTAAGTATACTCACCTGGTTTACTAGGTTAAGTTTTTAATGATATTTCATCATAATTCGAAAAAAATATCTTTTTTAAATATTTTATTATACTTTGATTGATTGTCCATAGAACATGATATCATTAAGAGATTCTTTGGCAATGGCTGCATAATCATATGTCATATATTGAATTAAAGCACTTGATCTTTCTTTTAAATAGATCATTTTATCTATATTACCATAGATACTAAATAAATTGTATAACATTTGGGAAGTAACAACTTTTTTATCAAACCATCTAGCATAAATAACCTTTGATTTTTTTGTTTCTAATTGATTTAATATAAAAATAATACATAAAAGTTATTTAGAATTATCATCTAAATTATCAGCACTTGATTACATTTTTTCAAATTATAATTTTTCTACTTATTGTAAGGTCATACTTTTAGAAACTGGCATTCTTATCATTTTATTTTTGAATTGATCCTAATCTTATCTTTAAATTGGTTAAGATAATGGTTATGAAATTTATTAAATAAATTAATTTTGTTATGGTTTATCTAAAATTTAGTGAAAATTAGTTAATTAATTCTTATTTTCTGAAGTAGATTCAAAATATTATAGAAATTCATTATGTTAATCATCATCATCATCATCATCATCATCACATTCTTCAGAACCAACTATTTCTTCATCAGATTCTTTTAAACCTAAATCTTGAAATTTTAAATCATCATCTTAACAATTCTCATGAGTTTCTATATTATTATTATCTTAATAGCTTTATAAAAATTCTATTTGATCATTTTTGTTTTATTGTTCTGCTGGCAATGTTAATTTTTTTCTATTTGATTATTTTGATTAAGTATTTATAGATTAAGGATCATCAGATTTATTGACTCCTTATAGAAAATTTTAGTATTGATCAGTTAAATGTTAGAAATTGGTTTAGTATTCATAAATCTAATTAAGTAATTACTACTATTTTTCAATTTGAGATTAAAGATCAATAGATGAAACTGTTGGAATAGAAAATCCTTCAGCACTTACTAATTATAATTATCCCATAAGTGAATTAATTTGTTAAATTTATTAAGACATTTAATGTTAAAATTGCATTTATGATTACAACAACTAGATTGGCATTTATTATTATGGTGTTTAAGATGCTGGCTACTATGATTTCCTTAATTATGTATAATCTATGTTAAATTAAAGATAATACCAACACCACCAGTGTTGTTTTCTTAGAATGTAATATATGTAAGTTTGCTTGCATATACATTCATGGGTAATTGGGGATCATCACAAAATAATTTATCATTCATGATCTATCTAGCTTTGTTTGCAGATTCAGGAAATTCATATTCAACAAATGTCTTCCATGTTAATGATCTTTCAAAAATTAACATCTAAATTATTAGAATGATTAATATATTTACTCTTTAGATTGTACCAAATTGACTGAATACTTTATAGTATTTATCGTGTCCCAAAGTCTTATTTGCTTTGTTTGTAATCACTACCAAAATCACATTAGTTGTGTCTTAATTCATTAATTAATTATTAAAATTCTTAATACGATAATCATAAATAGTTTCATGCTTTATGTTTAACAAACCCATTAGATTTATTTCCTGAACCACTCTCTCTTCTTACACCATCCACTAATTGATTTCTAAGATTTCGAGACTCTTATTATGCTTTCTATAATTATTCCTCTAAAATATTGTTTTACTCAATTATCTATTCTAATTGCTCATTCAATTTATTGATCTATTCCTTTAAACCTTAAATTTTCTTAATTACATTCAAATACTTTCTATTTTTGCTAATTCCTTTTAAACTCTCTCATTTTACTTTTCACCATTTTATACACTCTTCACATATTTATCTTTCCAAATTTCAATCTCTCTCAAATTCTCTTAAATCTTAATTTCCTAACATTATTTATCCTTCACTAAATTCTCATTCATAATTTTAAGTTTCTCCATTTAAGTTCTAACCTATTCATTTTCAATTAGCAAATCTATATTATAACTATTAATACTTGCAATTCTATTTTCTAATGTTTTAATCTCATTCTAATATCTTTATGCTTAAGATTTCAACTTCTATTATTCAATTGATAAAGTCTTTATCTATTCTTGAAAAGGTTTCTAACCTTCATTAAATTATTTTTGTTAATTCTATAATTCAATTTTCATTTAATCTTAAACTTATTTGACTTCTTAGGCACATTCCAATTTATTCTATTAAATCTCATTATCTTTCTCATAAATAACCTATTTCACTTATTCTTATAATTAATTAATTTTTTAATTCTTCTCTTTAATTTCTAAATTCTATAAATCAATCTTTTCTTATAATTTCTTAATTTTATTATCTAATTCAGTTAATTTAGTTTATTCCACTCTTAATTTTAAATCATCTACACTTTTCTCCCTTAATCTTGTTGGTAGTTATTTCAATTATTATTATAATTCTTCTACTTTTGATTCATTAATTTATTGTGTTTCCAATAATTTTTCATTAGCCTTTTCTAATTATTACATTTTTCCTTTATTATTAATTTCATCTTTTCTTATTCTCTATTATAATAAAAAATTCTATTCACTCAATTAATTATTTTTCTTTAGCAATTTTTCATATTCTTAATTAATATCATCAGTTTATCCTTAAAGCGACTTATATTTTGACATTTCAGATTAATTATTTTAAATAGAATTTCTGGCTGATTTCAATTCATCAACAAATTTTTTACTTGAATTATATAGATTTTAAGTTGCCTTTAAATTATTAATAATGTCTATTTTTTCTTAAATTTCCTATTTATGTTATTCCTTTAATTTTTACACATCTATCTAATGATTTTCATTTATTATTTTAATCTTTTATTAAAACTTATCTTCTTAATAAACTTTAGCTTCATTTTCCTTATTCTTCTCTATTCCTATTGCTTTCTATAAATTAGAGTTTTCCTCCAATAGTAACTGTATTTTACGTGTTAAGTCTTATATCTTAGATTATAGTTCACTATTATGTAAAGTTAAAATTTCAATCTCAGTTCCTCTCTTATTTGCAAGAACACCTAATGAAATATCAGTTGAACATTGTTTTTCTAGATGTGTTAATTTATCTTTTAATTCTTCTATAAGATGATTTTTATCTTTGATTTAATCTTCATATTAATGTAACTAATGTTTAACTTTAATTGATTACTTTAATTTTGTATTATTAGATTTCATCATTTAATCTTTTTTCACAAATAAAACGATCTTTTATTTATTATTCTAATTTTTAAATAGTATCTGTCATATCCATTGATTAATTATTTCTTTAGATCTCTAATAATTATACTACTTTATCATTTTCTTCCAACAACATTCCAATTTATTAATCTTTCTTTTCTCCAAGTATACGCATCTATCTAACATCATTAAGTGCATCTTAAAATTATCTACCTATTTATAATGTTTCTTATGTAGCTTCTTCTAATTAAGATTATTATCTCTAAATAACATGTTCCTATTATTTCAATTTCATTTCCAACTCATTAATTCTCCTCTCCAAAACCTTCCTATTAGCTGATTCTTTAGAAACCTCTGAAACTTCTTTAATGATTCGAGAAGGACTTTAATATAAAGAAATTTGACTTCCATTATTTTTGATATGCATACTCATTTACAACTGTAGTTTTATTAATAAATTATATAAAATAATCACATATTTGAAGATTTAATTACAATAAACAAAATTCAATTATCAGAATCATCATCTTAATTATCTTATTCCTCTACTTCCTCTTAATAATTTTCAGGATCTCCTTCATATTCACTTAAACCTTCATAATCCTCTTAAGCAACATCATCTTTTTTCTTATCCTCCTTATACTTTCTTATTTCATCTAATACAAATTCTTATTCTTTTTCATCATCAATCTCTTATTCTGATTCTTCAAGTTCTTCACCTGCTTATTATCTCTATTTCTCAGACATAACTTTTTATTTAATTAATTCTTCCTATTCATAAATCAATCTTTATGCTTCACTCTATAAATTACTTTCTCCCTTTCCACCTTTATTATGTTATTCAATTAATCTAATTAAGTCTTTAACTTTTATTTTATTTCCCACAAAACCAAAATCTTCTGAAATTCTTTTCAATTATTTCTCTAAAAATAAAGTGTATTCATAAAACCATTTTTCATTTGAAAATATTGATAAGTATATTACAATCTTATTGATAATCTATTAACAAAAATCAGCCCAAAAAGTTCCAGATTATTTATATTTTGGTTTAATAGATATATTGATCTAAAAATCATATGGTTTAACACTACTCTTCAATTTTCTCCTTTTTAATTCTGCACAATTTAACATTCTAAGAAGATAACTCAATAGATTTTAATTGACCTTATATACCTAAGACACTTTTATTAGGATATCAATCAATTATAATTAAAAAGTATAATTCTCTATGCAAGGATAAAAATCTAAAATAGATTAAGCTATTTGAATAAATGGTGGCATCAAATCAGCCAATTAATTCTCTCTCTTATGAGTACAAATTACTTGAGACCATAATTTTAATACATTTAAAGTTTATTAATTGTAAATAGATAATACATTTTATTGATTCTTTGTAACACTAGCATCTCTAATCTTTTTTACCAATTTTTATAAACTTAAATACACTACTTAATAAGCTTGATTCATATTCATATTACACAATTCAGTTATACAATTTATCATAAAATTAATAGCTTCATAATTTCTCCAAAGTACATGTTTAGCTGATTCCAAATATTTCTCATAAAATTTCTATATTATATATATATACATATATATACTTTCAAAATGTCTTATTATTAATGATCTGCCATAGATTAGAATACCTTTCTAACCTATACAAATGCTTACAATTTTATTTATAATGATAAGTGATCACCCCATATTTATATTAACAACTTTAATGCCTTCTTTTATAAGCTATCAAATGCTGTTAATACAATATTCAAATTGCCCAAAGCTCTTATCACAAATAAAATTGTTCCCTCTTATGCTTCTTATGTCTCTATAGTATGTTCCAAAAAATTCATTGCTTTTATGAAAAACCCTCTTATTATAACCTAATGAATATGAGACTCAATATGTTCTCTCTTAAATGTTTCAGCATAATCCACTTAATAAAAATCTCTTAATATATTTGGAAGTTGTAGCAATGAGAATTAAATAATCTTTGAATAATCTTCAGGTTCTTAACAATACTTTGCAATCACTTGATCTGGTTAATCTTCATCTTAATCTCCCTTAGATGCAAGTCTAAAAAGCTTAATTAATAGAGATATGCTCTTAAAATTTGGAGACTCTGTTAATTTCTCAAAGAGTTGATTAATAATCATTAATTAAATATGTTACTTGATAACATTAAACTATTTTAATAAATTATCTATTTCAAAATTCTCATTATTACAAGACTATTCAACTATAATACATACAAATTTAATGTATATTGTATAACAACTGAATTAATCTTAGTCTAGTCAATAATTTAAAAACATTATGGATCATACATTAATTATATTAGAAATATGAATATCAAGAAATCAATTTAAATAAAGATAATGTAGAAATATTAAGAGGATAAATAAAATATCCTTTTCTTTTAAACTAGTTTATATTTTATGTAAATAAAATAAAAAATACTAGATTAGTTATACAATTAACTATTAAAAATAATAATTCAAATTAAATCATTTATCCAAATGAATTTATAATAACATACTTATATTCAGATAAATCTTTTATAAGGAGAAACATATTCTATATATATATGTTCTTATCAATAATAAGATTATTAAATAATCAATTAAAGTAAGTGTAATGAAATTACATTAAATAACTTTAAAATTATTGAATATTTTATATTATCTTATTTTATAAAATTCTCATCATCGATATTACCCTGGCATGTATTATGCTTATGGGTTAATTCCAATTTGATTAGCTCTTTATGGGCTTGAATTATAGAGACCACCTTAATATAGAGGAGGTTGAGCTCTTTAAGGTTGTTATTAATAGGTTTGAGGAGCTCCAAACAAGGCTTATTAAGATTATTAATATTATGAATTAAATTGAGGAACTTATTATTATTATTATGATTATTATTATGGTTACTAATAATTTACAACAGGTCTTGATAATCCATTCTTATTAGAGTCTACTTAATGTAAATAATCCTAATCATAAGGAGCTTTACTAATATATTTATTATATATATAATTACTGCAAACAGTTTACAAGAAGGAATAAAGACAATAAAAGTAACAATACTCCAATAATTGCTGTATAAAGCATTGTATTTTATTTGATATGAATTTCATCAGGATTGACTTGATATGAATGAGAAATTGAAATTTGATTTGTATCTTGATTGAATAATACATAATTTTTTCTAAAATAATATAAAAAATATAATATTACTTAAAGAATGTGTATGGAATAATAATATTAGGTTTTTCTTATGATAATGTATTTTTATCTGAAATAGTTTTCATTAAAAGATAGCATTAGTTTTATTCTCTATGAATATAATCATTCTTAGATAATGGATATGATATTTTATCTTAGAGATTAAATGAGAAGTATATATCTTTATATTTTTCAAATTACTCATCATTACAAGGACATTTATATAAACCATCTTATTAAATGCAATCCTAAAATAAAGAATTAAAATACAATTTAGAAATTTTTAATTTCTTTTAAAAAGTTTTATATTATTGTACTATCAGCCCAAATAAATCTAGTTGTACTATCGAAAATGGCAGTTCCAGTAGCTATTATATATAAAATAATTATAATACATGCAAAATTTCCTTCAAGTCCATAAGAAATTTTATTTATCTTTAATGCCCATACTTTCTTACCTACATTAGTAAATTAAGTGAATTTGGATTAAGCAAAATAAGTTTATTATTCTCCAATAATCAATAAAGATAAATTATCTTCCAATTTTAATGCAAATGTTGATGCTGGTACATTGTTCAATTGAGAATGGAATCTATTATAATAATAATTATATTACTATTAAATTAAGCTATGAGTCTATTATAATGTTGGTTCATTCTTAACTTCACCAACCATAGCATTTTTTTTATTTTTGTATTCTACATAATCTGAACCATATGCTAAACCTATAACACCATTTTTGGCTTTAAATTCATATTTAGGATCCTCCTTTGCTTTTAAATTATCAATAAGTCCTAGTCCAACAGAATTTGCCTTCAATCCCATCAATTCTAAAGAATCCTTATTTCATTAAATTAATTTATACTTGAGTTGCATATGATCCTGTAACTATTACACGTCCACCATATGTATTTTCAGTAGTTAATGGTATTTTTTTTTGATCATCTGTAGTTTTTTAATATTAGCAACTTCCTTCACATTTGAATATTTCTGCATCATTTGGACAATTAGTACATTAGTTATTCTCAGTCTATTTTGTATAGACCCAAGAGATATAAGAGGTAGTATCTATTGTTTATTTGAGTTAAGTTTGACCTAAAGTTAATGGAATCTGATTTATTAATTAAGAATACTGTTAAAGTGTAATCATCTAAATATTTTTTAGAGTCATCTTCAGTTGCCTTCAATTTATTATTATCAATTGATGAACTACTAAAATGTTACTTCCTATGAATTTCAGAAGTAGCTTTCTCAAAATTAATTCTAACTTCAAATGCTGAAATGCTCAGAATTAAAATACAAACTAATGCTAGATTCATAAATAAATAAATTTGATAAAATTTATTTCTTTTTTGAGATTCAAAATAATTTAAGAAGATATTTATATAGCTAAATTATCAGGTATTAATAAATATTATAATAAATAAATAAGTCATCTCTGCTAATGTAAATTAATCTAATTTAACAAAAATCTTATACTATTTCTTTAACTGTGTCTGCAAGATCTGGATATTATGATATAATCTCATTAAATATTTAAATAGCTTCTTTATTTTCATTATTAAGTAATAAAATCTATCCTTTTTACAATTTCCCTTTTATATCATCTTTAAAAATACTACAGTATTTATCATTATTTTATTTAGCACTTTAAAATTAAGATAAATTCATATAGATTTAGGCTAATAAATATTTAAGCATTTTTCTTACCTAAATAAAAGTTGGCATGACTGTTTTAATTACATTAATTAAAACATAAAATTGCATTTTCAATTTATTCTTTTTAAAGAGCTATTCTTCCTTTCTATAAATCATTTCAATTTACCTTGCATTAAGTAAGCATTTTCATGATTTTCTTTGATTTTTATTATATCAGCAAAATATTCTCCAGCTAGATCATATAATTATAATTCAAATAAAGAAATACCTTAAATATTTATATTAGATATACCAGCCTAATATAAACTTTCTATATCTTCTTTATTATTATTGATATTAATCTAAAATTATAAAAAAGCCTCTAAATATCTTTTTTCTTCTTGCAATAGTATGCCATACAAAAAACAAAAATTATTTGCATTTTTAAAAACTTTTTTAGCCTTTTCGCACTCTTAAATTGCAATGTTATTTTATTTCAATTCTCCATATGATAATACTTTAAAAATTTGAGAATTCAAATATTACTTTTATATATCCAAGCTTGTTCCAAATTTGATTTAATTGATAATGCTTTCTCAAATAATTCTATTGATTGATTATAATTTTTAGCTATAAATTATTACATTCCTTAAATTAATAATATATATCTATTTACCCTTTTCATAATATTCCTATGATTTATCTTATTAATTAACAATAGAAACATGTTAAGCTATCTAGGATTGCATTAGAAGTTAAGATTTAAATTGGAGTCTTTAATTATGAAATATTAATATACTTGGCTTAAGATAATTCAATTAAATATCCTGTTGATAAATCTAATTTTTTGATAATATTTGATATCATTATTTAAGATTAATGATATTAATCTCTTATTTTTATTGAATCAGAAGACTAATAATATTAACTTACATTTGTTCCTTTTTAGGAATTTTCTGATTATATATTTTTATTGATAATTGATGACCTATTAATATTGCTTTCTTATAATATTTCTTCTAATTTAAAGTTTCTCTAATTTAAGAATACATCAAATTAACTTTTAAATATATTACTTTAATTAGGTTAATCATAAGTTAATAATAATTCTTCAATCTAACCAATACTTATTTTATGTTATTCTATTTTTGATTATAAATATGATTAACAATATTCCAGGAATTTCTTTACATATATTGAATTATGTTAAGAATGATAAGTTTATTAACAAATTTTGCACATCAATCTTCTATGTTTACATTTCAAATCAATACAAAAAATATCAGATATTTCTTTAACATGATCTTTACAAAATATTGCCATTTCAATTAATAAATATTTTAAGATTAAATAATAAATATTAATTAATAAGAAAGTTAATATATATTAATTTATTATAACAAAAAAAATATATTAGAAATTAAATTCTTCTAATATAGATGATATTGAATAGAAACAATATTTAGAATAATTGAATTAAGTCATAACTATATTTAAAGAAATGAGAAATATTAAGAAATTAAATATATTCATATGTTTCATTTTCAATTGATTACATGATAACAGTCATGATTCAATTTGTTTTATTTTCATAAGATATTTCAATTAATTTATTCAATCTAAGTATTATTAGTGAACTAAATAGAAAATATAAAATAACTATGAAAATTATTGAATAATTGATATGAATTTTTGGGATAATGATAATGATAATGAAATTCAATCTTGCATTTAGTGTCTTAGTTTTTATTTCTTCTCAACTTATTTATCATAATCTTCTATAAATTTTTCAAATGCAGCTGGATCTACAACAAGAAGTTTGGAAAAACTAAAGAGCCATTCATCAATGTTGACCTAAATGATGATTATTACATATTTTATGTACTCCTCTTTCAGGATTGCATAATGCAACTGATTTAATGAAATCCTTAGCATCCTTTTCTGCTTAATTGTCAGTAATAGTATCTTCAATATACTTATTAAATTTCACTGCCTTAGCATGATCTATATATTTTGAATTATCATAATCGATATCCTCAAAAATAGCTTAGAGTTTTTATTTCTATGATTGTTTTAAGACATTAAAGGCCTTACTTTCTGCAGTTAAATTATTTATAAGAGTTCTTATTTCTGTAATTCCATCTCCAGGTCTAAAATATTAATAGAATCTTTGAATTACTTTTATCCTGATTAGTTCTTTAAATTTGGATCAGCTTGATTAATAACAAGTAATAAAACAATTTCCTTATTCATTTTCTCAGCTGCAAGATGCAAAGGTCCTGATCCTTATGCATTATAAACTTCAAGTGATGCTTCATTCTAAACCAGAAATCTTACAACTTCCAAATGATTGTGAATAATAGCCCAAAACATTGCAGTATTTCCTTAATCTAGAAAAGCAGAGTACCTTCTTTATCTTGATAATTGATATCAACATTTCCTTAGACTATGGCTCTCTTAATCTCTTCCAAAGAACCCTTTTAAGCAGATGTAAGGAATTATTCATTATGAAAAGTTTCCATTAATTTAAATTATTATGTCTCAGAAAAAAGCAGATTTTGATTTTCTTGTGAAATTGTTAATCATTGGAGATAGTGGAGTTGGTAAAACTTGTTTGTTAATGAGATATTGTGAAAATCTGTTTACAAATAATCATTTGACAACTATTGGTATTAAAAATTGCCACATTGATAGGAATAGATTTTAAGTTAAAGACAATTGAAGTTGGAGGCAAGAAGGTTAAAATATAAATCTGGGATACTGCTGGTTAAGAAAGATTTAGAACCATCACTTAAACTTATTACAAGGGAGCTTAAGGAATTATTTTAGTTTATGGAGTTGACGATAGGGTTTCATTTCAAAGGTATTATTTAAAAACCATTCTTAAGTATAGAAAATTGGATGAAGTAGATTAATACTCATGCCTAAGAGGGTGTGAGTAAATTGCTAGTTGCAAACAAAAGCGATTGTGCTGATAGAGTAGTTTAGACTTAAGAAGGTCAAAGATTAGCAGATCAATATGGCATCCCCTTTTTTGAAACCTCTGCTAAAAATGGCACAAATATCTATGAAATTTTCAATTCAATTGCCAAAATGGTTATAGATAAACAAAACAAGGATCCTCTTGATCGTCCATCCAATGTTTAATTATCATAGTAACCTTAAAGTGAAGCTTCAAAAAAATAAGGAGGATGCTGCTGACAATTTAAAATATATATTCAAAATATTCAATTGTTTTCTACCTATTATACATTTCTCTTCATTTTTCCATATAATTTCTTCCTTACATTCTAATTATCTCTTTATTTATTCCTAAAGCTTTTTATTTTCATACAATTATTTCACTCCATATAAATTTCACATTTTTCTATTTATTTACCATAAAAATAAATCATTCATCTTAAAATAGAGCTAACATTTTTCTTCTTTGTTGATAATTTCACCTTTAAAAAAATAATTCAAAAGAACTCTTTTTTTTGGAATATCAACAGTTTTATATATACATTAATTAAATGAAAAAGCAAAGAACAAATTAATAGATAGAATACGCTTAGTTATATATTGTCAAAATTTAATTGAAAGTATACAGATTACAATATATACAAAAAATATAAAAATTTGAATCTATATCCATTTAGCTAAAAAGAAATATGTAATTATTCTAAAATCAGTCTTTAATTTTTGAAATTTTGATTATTAATTATATGTTTATTTTATCAAAATTTGCAAACGTCTTCTTATTATAATTTATAATTATCAAACTTCATTTTCATGTTAATACTTATAACTTATTTTTATCCTTTTTATAAATCTCTAAATTATTGAACTTTATCAATTTTATTTTTATTTTTCAAAGAGTTTTTCTTTGTTCTTATCAATTATAGTTACAATATTTTTATAACCTTATTGAATAAATATATAAATGGTGCTTAATTTATAACAATAACAAAAGTAATAATCCTTTTAAGGTTCTTATTTTTCATCTCAAATTTTTTGTTCTTTTCTATTTATGATTATTTCTAATAATTTATATTATATTTAATGTAAGCCAAAAGATTAGTTCTTGATCCTTTTTGTTATAGACAGTTTGGAAAATAAGGAAGTTAATAAATTCTTTATGAACGAGAGAAATTTGTGGAAAAAGTGAATGAATTATATAAAAGTGAAGATTTAAAGGATGGGTATCAATAATTGATTATATTAGTTATGCTCCATTTTGTAAACATATATTTATAGAAAATTTCACAGAGACACCAAATTATATATTGAAAATAACATAAGAAAATGAGCATTTAATAAGGACAGCATATAAAGCAAGGAATGAAAGAGAAGTATAAATATTAATTAAATTAAAAAAGTTACCTGTATTAACTAGATTCATTCCAGCAGAATCTATTTAATTATAGAAAGCGAAATATTTAGATATTATTCTTTATTCAAAAGAATAAATTACTAAAGAAAATAAATCATAAGGAGTTGAGGATATTCATGGTGCAATTGATTATGATTTTGGCATAATTTCAATTAAACCATAGGATGAAAATTCTGAAATACCTATGTTACCAATTACATCAATGAGAAATTCTTTAGGAACTAAAGAAGGAGGATCAGGAGTAGAGATAAATAGAGAAGAGTATTTAAAATCTGTAGACTTTTGGTCAAAACATATATTGGTTGAGTGATATTGATTTAAACATATTCATAACATTTAATCTAATGCCTTAATGGCTTATTTGCGTTTAAGAGGAGCATTATATGGATTTAAGTCAAGTTCTTATTTACGATCTTTTTATTTATTTTTTCCTAATTATTTAGAAAAATAATCCTCATCAAATTAATATTAATATTTTCTTTTTTCTTCTTTTAATTATTTCTCAGTTAATTCTTTCCTTTATTTTTGTACTTTCTCATTTTTAAAGATAACTGGAGCATATAATAGTGTATTTAAGGAACAAATATTAGTTGAAGGTTGATTTAATGATTATATTGATAATTGATATCTTTGCCTTAAATTATTTTATTCATCAATTTCTTATGAATTGTATTTTTCTTTATATATTGATTCCATAACTTATGTAAGTAATCTATTGAGAGATAAATCATTATTGTTATTATTTCTTTTGAAATGCTACAATAAGGATGTACAAGTAATACTCAATGTATCAAGTGCCATTAATACATGAAAAATGTCTCCTTCTTATCTTCCTTATAATTCATATAATTTTTTTGATTTAGAACCCACATTTCGAATTACTTATTTAAATATTATGAAATTACTCTTTATAAAAAATTCAGCTAGAAGATTGATTCCTTGTTCTTGACAACTACTAATACCTGAATTAAGTAGCATTTGTGAAACATATATCTTCATCTAATTATCATGTGTATTGAAATACCAATTTACCTAAAGATTGCTCTTTTGATCTACTTTATTTAAGCATTTTTAATAATTATTATTATTAAAATGAATTATTAATCATTACCTTAATTACAAAAATTCAAATAGATTGCTCAAACTCCAGATGAAAATTCAAAAAGAGGTGACGAAGTGACTAGATTGAAATAATAAGTTGTTCAATTACAAAAATAAATTGAATTTATTCAATAGAACAAATCATTTGTCATGAAGATTCAAAATTAGTAATGCACTCTCTGTCTTAGATATAAAGTACTAAGGTACTTGATTTATTGTAGACCTAAATTGAACAATTAATTAAACAAGAAAAATAGATCAAGAAATAATATGAATAAAAAATTGAAGAATTATTATAAAGTTTAAACAAAAAAAGTCTCAAGTAAAAGATTACATAAATCCAATAAACTGAAATAGTTCCAACTTTGAATAAAGAAGTTTAGGTGTAATTGATGTTAGAGTAAGAACCTTAATAAAATGATATTGAAAATTTAAAGCAATCTCCTTTGGTTAAAAAATATGAAGAAATTATAATTGATTATCATAAAGATTATGAAGCCAAAGCCTATTAAGTATTATAGTATAAAGAATTATATGAAAAATAAAAATCACAATATGAATAATTTAAATCTTAACATTAAAATTGTTATGATAAGATTCATAAATTATAAATTGAAATTAATTTACTCAAAGATACTTCAAATTAATATAAACTACCTGATAATATCATGAATCTTAAAAAGACTATTGATTGTACAATTGAATAAAATAAAATGAATCAAATTGTAATGAAGACTTAAGAAGGTGATACTACAATTAAATTATATTAGAAGTTATAATAAATTGAGACTGATCTTTACATAAGTCTTAGATGTACAAAATGCAAAGACATGTTTACAAATCCATTTACATTTGTTCCTTGTGGTCATAGTGTTTGTTAAAAATGTTAGAGCAATAGGTGTGATAAATGTGATAGGGATACTACGTATTTTAGAAACAATAGTTTAGATTATTTGATAAAGATGTATCATTAAATAAGAGAAATTTAATAGAAAAGATGATAAATACAATATATTGTTAAATTAAATATTTTAATTTATAAATATACTTAAATCAGAAAATGAAAATGATCAAGTATTTGTTTAAATTTCGAATTAATAATTTAAATTGTAATTTGTTTCTTTTTATAAATACATTATGATAATTTATTTATATACTAAAAATGAGTTAAATTTGAATACTCATACTCTTAAAAATAGAAAAGAATTTTTAAGGTAAAAATATATATATAATTGTTCAAGATTTAGTTCTTTTTTCATCTTTTAATGCTTATATTCTCCAACTTTCAGAGAATTCATTTAATTTTTACATAAATTCTTAATGAAAACCAACATTATCTGTATGATCTGGAAGTTTAAGTTTTTACATTTATTTCTATTGATGTTATTAAATAGTTTATTTTTGATTCTATTATTTCTAATTTACTTAAGTAGATGTATTTTTCTTTTAAATATTCGATAAATCCAATTTCAATTTCACATTAGATTTAGTATCGAGAATATTGGTATTTTTATACTCAAATTTTCTAACACTTTCTACAATAGATTCATTATCAAATCTATTAAGGAAACAAAAACTGGATTCATCAGAATCATTTATAACAGAATTGTCTGCATCATGAACACTTCTCTCATAATGTTAATGTTTTTAAACAATAGATTTCTCTGTCTATTCAGCAACACTATCATCATTTAAGACTTCTTCATTATAGATTTTTTCAATATCAACACCACTCTTTTTAATAGCTAAAACCAATTTAATTAATTTTGCTTCCTTTTCACTCATCTCTTAAATCTTTTATTACATTACATCTTGCATTTCTTTCAATTATATTGTATCCATGCTATCAATATTATTACTTTATGTATTTTTGTTATTTGGTATCTATTTTGGTGTTTTTAATTATTTAACTGTTTCAAGTAGGATATCTCTCTCTTACTCAATTTACTTATAATTATTTTACCATAAATCCTTTTCTCTACGTATTTAATCAATCATCTCATAAAACTTCTCCTCTTATTCACATAAGACTTGTATACACATACAATTGAAGAGTTCTAATAAATTATTGATTATTTATTATTAGACATCACTCAAATCACTTAATGATACAAATTGTTGCTTATATAATTGCATATTCTTTTGTTGTTTTATTAAATACTCTTTATGAAATTCCCACCTGGAGTATTATTTGTTGTTTATTAAAGAGGCTTGGATTTAAGTATTGAGATTCCAAAGTTCTTAATTCCTTTTGACAGGTTTCCTTTGACCAGGACTCTAAGAATCACTCGTGAGGTTGCTAGTTAGATTCTATTTAGATCTATATAATAAAGTGTACACATACAGTTGTTGAAGTATATTTGTCGATAAGATGTGACCATCACCAATTATTTTACGTAATTTGAGTCCATTTTAAGATCCATACAATGAATCATCTTCAACTTACATTGTGGCAAAAGCAGAAACACGACTTTTAGAACTGCTGTTAGTACGATTGTTGTTATTTTCCGAGATATTGTTTTTGTGTTGCTTATATCGTTTCTCTTCAATAGATTTGGAGGTAGGCACTGCTTATTTGATAGTTAAACGCTATTGCTGAAACTTTGGAGGGATATGGAAGAAGTTGTTATGTTCTGGACAAATGTTTGGCTGAGATGTTTATTTCGGAATCACTACCCTTGCCAAGGCTTCCTTCACCGTGTTGGGGGCTACTCGTTGCATTTCAGATAATTTAATTTTTATATAATCATCATTATTATGTCTAGATAATGTACTATTATTCATATACTATAATTGCTAGAACCAAATTGACCAAATGTGATTAATGCTTTGATAACTTATTCTAATAATATTGATTGAATATAATGAAGGATTTTTGAAGATAATAGTTATTCAACATTTATTGTAACAAATTTCTTAAAATATTGATTCAATAAGAAAATTCTCACTCTAAGTAAATTAGATCTTTTTGAAATAAGTAGAACATTTAAGATAACTCATAAAGGTTTAGTCTATAGATTATATCATTTAAACTGAATACCATAAATCTTATCAAGTATACTAAATTCAACATAAGTATCTTAAAAAAAAAGTTATAAATTTTTATAATATGTTTATACTGGGATCCAAATATTTAAGGGATAGCCTTCTATTTATATTATTTATTTATAGGATCATTGATTGACTTATCTTCAAATTTAAGTTTTAAATATAAGTTATGTAAAATATTAATAAAAAAATTTAAATTCAAAAATATGAATACTTTATAGGAAAACAGATTATTTGTTTAGCAAATTAAATAGAAACAAGATGAATTTAAAGTATATATTTATCATAGTATAAGAAAACTATTCAATTTCCATTTAAGAAAGAACCTCCTCTATTGTAGTAGCATAATTTTAATTAGCTTACATCTCCTAATTAAAGAAGAGAACAAACTCCAAATTAAAGAAAGGGCAAGAATGAAAGTAAGATTATTTTTTTATATTTTAGATGATAATTCATGTTCACCTACTCTTTTTCGAACTCCATAAATTAGTTTACATTATGACTAAAATAAAAAGCATAATTAATAGAGTAATAATAGAAGTCGTAATGAGAATGTGTCAAATTACAAAGAAAGAAGAGAGCCAATTAATGACTCTGTCACTAAGGATTACTCAAAAGTATTAGAAGAAGTGATGAAAAAATACAGACAACTGAAATCAGAATTATTGACAAAAGATAAGGAAGTGCAGAAGACAAGATTTTATAAAGAAGAATGGTTGAAAGAAAAGGTTTAGATATATCATGTATGACTATATAGAAACGTAATGAATAATTACAAGAGAGAAACAAGATTTTAAAAACGAAAATGTTAAAAATCATTGAATTAGTTTAATAAGATTAATTGAAATAGAATGATGATTCGGAGGTAGTATCATTTTATTAAAATTTTAGTCAATAGGGTATAATATCTAGTCTCTAAACAGAAAATAAGTATTTACGTTAAATGTTGCATTTATATGATGTTACAGATATTTCAAGTTAATTAGAATAACTTGAAGGAGAATAGGAATAAGAAGTAGTTTATATTGATAACATTTTGAATGTTTTTCTTGGTGATTTGAAAACAATATAAAAGAATAAAAAAGAAAAGAAAGATAATTAATAATTAGGTACTTATTTGATATGAATATTAAAGGTCAATTTAATTCATTATCACTAACAGTTTTGAACAAAGAGTCAAGCTTTGTTGATTTGTCAGAAGATAAACTTTTAATGGAATAATCATGATTTAATATATATATATATATATCTTTACATAATTATCAACAGCATCTTGAATTATTATTTTTAATTGTTATTATAATCTTAAACATTAATCAAATATTTATTTTACTTTATAAAATTAATATAATGTAAAATAGAGATGACATGATAAAACAGTTATAGAATCTACAAGACCCATATGTATTGCAACGTTAAAGGTAACAAGATGTCAAAAGAAAATATGAGTAATTGTTAGCATAAGTCAATTTGATTTATGATGAAGATGGAAAGGAACGTCAATATACAGTTGATTTTCAGAGATTCATTCATTTTTATAAATTTCTGGCTCGTCGACCAGATAGTGAATAGTCCAATTAATCAGTGATAAACAGATTATAATTATGGGTACCTGATACAATAGTGCTGAATGATAGAGAAATGCCAAATTATTGGTTATATTCTGACTCAAGAGGGTATGTATTTAGAACAGATACATTTACATCTAAAAATGTAATTAGCAAATTAGCCAATTATACATCTCCTGATGAACTAGTAGCAGTTGTTAAAAAATAATAATTTCGCAATATGGAATTAGTAGGTAATGAAATAAAATTGGTTTGTTGCAGAGATTTATAATCATAAATAAATGCTAATTTTTCAAATCGTATGGATCTTTGTGTAATTCAGAAATTTGTAAAGAGTAATGGACCTAAAGCATTTATATGTCGTACTATTTGGAGAAAAGATAAGAATCCATATTGCTATATCATAACAAATAAAGAAGATTACTTCTCATAATCAAATAATCCAAAGACTGAAATGACAAAATATGCTACAAATGTGAATCTATAAAATTCATGTACTATTGTAAATACATGTCGGGGTAAATATGTTGATGAAACTGTACCATATGTTAAAAATCTTCTTAATTACATTTATATTCATTTACATATCACTTTTAAAGAATTTTCAGCTGATTTTATAAAAGATGAAAGTGGAATTTGGTGGTTTATAAATGTAAAGGGATTCATTATAGATAAAAGTCCAGAAAAGATTATGTGGAAATCTATTACTCATTATGGAGAAGAAATAAATGAAGAAGGATAACCTATAATTTAAGAACGTATATCAACCCCTAAAGCCAAAGTCGCAGATATGTGTTAAAAATAAAAGATTTGCAAGTATTGTGAGTAATCTTATCCAGAATAACATTTATAATATAAGATGACTTTAAAAATGATCATTTAAACTGATAAACATTTATATTGGAGAGGTAAAACATTTAATTGGATTGACAGATCTGATGTAACTAATCTTGAAGTTAGCAATCTTTATCATGAACATAAGGTTTGTAAATAATGTTACACTTTATATAAGGAAACAGAATAACTAATTGAATTATAACTACAATTTAATAAATTATTAGGGTTACCTAGTGATTATGATACTATGAATTAAATGTTAACACTTAAAGCAAATCAAATAAATAATGAAACTGTTAAAACTGGATTAGAGGATTCTAAATAAATATTCAATATATCTGCTACAAAGTAATTGATACTTAATAATTAATCTATTCCTATGATTCATAATACTGTCATCAAAAATTTGAATAGATTTAGATTTATGATTTTAATTCATTCCATAAGAGATGTTCCTTAAAATGTTGATTTATCTAAACATTATTATATTGAATGCAATATATTTGATTAGAAATTCAAAATCAAATTAGATTTAATATAAGGTTAGTTATTTGATAAAGGTTATTTCTTAACATTAAATCGTATGCGATTATATTATTTCTTTAGTGATCAACGTAAAGGTTGGATAGATTATGTAAATCAATTAAAAGTACTGCCTATGTATTTATACTAAGAGAACACAAGAATTGGTACATTGGAACTAGAACTCTAAGATTTATTATCTGAACGAGTCATAAGAAGAGAATTCCTTAAGGTTTTTAGTGTAAAAGATTGTTATCCAATATTGAGTTGGTCATTAAATGTAATCGATGTTTAGTAATGTAGTTAACATTAGGGCTTGTTGATTCTGGACCAGTTAATGTTACAAGAATTAAGTTACAAGATCATTTTGGAATTTCATTACCAAATCCTGATTATTGCACTTGTGAACCTTTGCCTGCTGAATGGATGACCATATTAAATCAAAAAAAAGATGTTGAGTAATCTAGATTTGAAAGATAAATGACTGCATAAACTTTAAAAAGGGTTTCCACAGCTCATGCTAAATTGCAGAAGAGTAAATTTGAAGGATCTTCACTATAATAAGAAATGGAGTCTTTCAATGATTCAACAAAAGAATTATATAGTTAATTAAATTTAAAGAAAGAAATTTAATTATATGAAGTAGATGAAGAAGAACGTAAATAAAAGAAAAGAAGACACTTTTAATAATATGATTTATGATATAGTATTTTTTGTTAATTATCATAATGTTATAATCAAACCCAATTTCTTAAAATCAGTAATCTTCTATTTTACATTTCTAGCATTTATCTTATTTTATGAAACAATTATATTCTTAAGATGAATACCAATCAATCCATTTTAATATAACTAGAATAATGTGTCAATACTTTTATCAGTTAATGAGTTTTATGATAAATTCACACTCTAAATATTATCATTTTATGACAAAGCTAAATTATATCAATAAATTAATTATATACCCTTAAATAATTACAAGAGTTGATCATCCAATAATTTAGATTTCATAATTTTTACACTTTTAACCTTCCAATGCTTTATTTCATTTCCTAAAACTACCAACATATCTTTTTCTAAATTATTGAATTCTGCCACATCTGTTTTACCTTTTCTTAATTCATCCATATACAATTATAATTTCATTGGAACTTAAGATTTCTTTCTGCAAATTGAAGCTCTATTACTTTCCTACTATTTTAAATTACTACTTTACAATTGGTGATAAAGCTGGATCACAATTTTCAGTATTCATTTAATTTGTAGGAGTGGCACTTCTAAAAACTCTCTTAATTTAATTAACAGGTTCTGCTTCATTTGCAAATGTGGCACTAACATCATTTAATAAATCAGTTTCTTCTATAGATTATTGTATTGAAAAAGAACCCAATAAATAAGGTGATTATTGAGATTAGTTATTATTATTATGATTATTATTGGAAATCATTAATTCAGGACCTTCAATTATTTTACAAAAATCTTCAAATTTTAATGCATTCCAATTAAATTTTACATTAATTTCTAAACCAATTAGTTGATCTCTTTTGGCTATAATCTATGATTAATTTTTCTTTATTTCTCTTATTTAATTAATAAATACTCTTACTATTAGAGTTAAAGTCCATTGGTTCTCAAACTATCAGTAAGATTAAGTAATTCCCAATATTTAACTTGTTCTGTAAATTATTCAAAAGCACTTTATGCTAATTTAATCCAAGATTGACATTCCTTCTCTATATGAATAGTATTGTTCCACCAATCACTAAACTTATTGATATTATTCGATGTAGCAATCATTATTTAAGATACTAACTAAAATTAGAAAAAGTATACACTTACAATTTTTTCTTTTTAATCAATTTTATCTCTCAATTCTAAAAATTCCTTCTTTAATTTATCAACAGCAATTCTTTACATTTCTGAAACTTACATTTAGAAATCCTATTCATGTTTTGTTCTAGAAATAGACTATGATTCTTTATGAATTCTCTCAACCATTTCTGTAAGTTCCTATGCTTTCATCTCTAAAAGTGAAATAATATCCTCTTCACTATATATATAATGTCCTTTATGACTTCCAAATAAAGCACAATTTGTACAAATCATAGTTTAACATTGAAGACAAACAACTTCAAGTTGTCTACGATGAGTTTAACACAATTTTCCTGAATTATAAGAATAATTAAGAGAACCAAAACTATCATCTTGATCTCTAAATCGTTTTAAATTTAATTTTTAAGGTTTTTTTACAGAAGTTGCCAATTCATCCAAAAAATTACTATCAATACTTGTTTCATCTGATGGCCATTCTTCAAAAGTTTGATTATTCATTTTCGATTCTAAATTTATTGGACGAAGATTCTTTGATTTTTATAATTAAAGGATTCTCAATAGGCTCTGATTGAGAGGAAAGTCATCCAGTTTCAATTAATTTTATTTGATTTGTTATAACTAATTTTAAAATAGAAACACTACTTAAGTCAAATCATTTTATAAATGTATAATCTTATCAGCCTCAATAGTCTAGTCAACAATTTATTATACACACAATTAACAAATAGTATCTCCTGTATTTGGAATCAAGCGAGGCCATCTTATACAGATGTCTAAGTCTTGCCCGCAAATTGAACATAAGAGTTCCATAACGATTTAATTTTAAATTTTATAGAATATTATTAATTATTCATCACTATTTTATAATAGTGTTATCGTTTTTTATGTATATATTATGTGTCTTTACATATTTATAATCTTATGATTCTCAAGAAATAGACCATTAGGTTGTAATTTAAAATAACTCATATTTGATATATTCAAATCATGTGTTAAGCAATATAAATTTTATTTTCTAATGTAAGACGATCGAGTTAGATACATGTATGACTTTTAATTCATAAAAGGAATTCTGTGTATTCTGAACATAGAAAGGATCTTTCTAAAAACATGGACGTTGTGTGTTTTGCAATGGCAGTTGAGTTGGACAGATTAGTACAAGAAAACAATTTGCTTAAAGAGGAAGTCAAGGAAATCTCAAATCTTAGAGTTGATCGACTAAATTATGAAAAGCAAATTGGAGATTTGATGAACAGGTTGTAATAGCTCACAGCTGAAAATGATATGCTAAAACGGGATAATGACAAATTGAAAACTCAACTAAATTCAACTAATCTAAGAGCCTAATAACTGGAGGGATAAGTAAATCACTTTTAATAAGAAATTCAGTTGGTCTCCAATAAATTAGAAAACATTACTGGAGGAGATGGTGGTATATAAAATAGTATGATCTTATGTTTTAGATTTTGACATTGAAGCATTAAAATAAAAGGCTGAGTTGTTGGATAGTTTAGCTAAAGATGGACAATCAATGGAGGATTTATCAGATTTATTGGATTCTCTTAGAGAAAAAGCAGAAAAATATGATCATCATTTAGAGTTATTAAATGGAAGAGATCTTGAAGATGTGTTAAGTGATCTTGATGAATTAGAAAAATTAAGGAAACTAGTTAAAGAACTTTAAACAAAAGTGAGTGATTTGTAGAAGGAATTAGATGCATTAAGAAAGAAATCAAAAGAATTGGATGATATGAAAAAGAAATTGGGTGATGATCCTAATAAAGAAGTTGATAAATTAAGAAAATAATAAAAAGATTAAGAAGATCTAAAAAAGAAACTTGCTGATGCTTTGAAAGAAATTGAATAATTAAAAAAATTATTAAATGATAAAAATGTTGAATGCAATAAGTTAGGTTAATAGGTTGCTTAACTTACTTAAGATAATTAAGTTAAAGATTAAAGAATTTAGGAATTGGAAAGATATGCTCAATAATACTAAGAATTACAAATTAAAGTCAATAAATTGGAATAAGAATTAGAGAATCTATAAAGATAATTAAGGGATAAGAACCAATAATTAGAAGATAAAACTAGATTGATTGATACATTAAATAGAGAAATATAATAATTGAAAGCTGAATTATAAAGATTAAAAGATTAGATCGCTAATTTAGAAAGAGAAAAATAACAATTATTGTAATAATTACAATAAATGCAAAATTAACTTTCTTAATTATCAGATTAATTAAGAAATTCTTAAGCATAATTACAATAGTTAAATTCAATTGCTAATCAAAATGATGATGAGAAAGAGAAGTATGAATTAGAAATAGATGAATTAAAAAATGAAATTGATTCACTTAAAGAATAAATTGAAGAATTAAATGATGAAATAGCAAAATTAAAAAGAAAGATATCAGAATAAGATGATTAGATTGATTCATAAACAAAAACTATTTCTAATAAAATTGCAAGAATTAAAGAATTAGAAGATTTATTGAATCAAAAAGAAAAAGCTATCAAAGAACAAGAAATTAAAATAAAGAAATTACCTGGCTCTAGTGTTGTTGTTGGTGGTGGAAGAGGAGGATAATCTGGATAAGTAGGATAAGGAGGTTCTGATGTTATCAACAAATCCATTTCCAATTAATTGTAAGGAGGAACAGGTTAACCTGGTAGCTTTGGATCTAAAAGTGGACTTGGAGGCTTAGGATAAGGAGATGAATCTTAAAGTACAGTATAGTTGAGTCAATATTAAAATGTTTTATTGGCTTATTTATTGATTGCTGCTGAAAATGAAAGAATTAGCGAGGCCTTAAGAAATACAGTTCAAGATTATGAATAAGTATTAGTTGATTTAAGAAATGCTGAAGGAGAGATTTCTTATTTAAAAAAATCTATATCAGATTTATAGACTTAAATTAATGATGTAATAATTAATTAATTTTTAGCTTCGATTCTAATTGGATGAGGCCAGAAGAAAGGCTATGAATAACGATGAAATAGAAAAATTAAAAAGATAATTAACAGAATATGAAAATAAATTAGCATTATTATCTATGGAATTATAAAGATAGAAAACAGTTTCAGGTTCAGGAAAATAAGGAGCCTCCTAATAATTGATTTCATAATAAAATACATTTGGATATGAAGATAAATAGATTAATTTTGATTAATAGTATAGATCACCAAAAGGATCACAAAGAAATGTAAATATCAATGGTGATGATGATTCTTGGAGATTAAAAAAAATTATTGAAGATTAATTATGTTTAATAGTTCTTATGTCAGCTGAGCTTGAAACCTTGAGATCTTAAGAGCAGTCCAATTAAAGATTAAGTTCATCAGGAATATAGAGATCCACAATCTAAACCAGTTAAGTTTAGGTAGGATATGGAAAAAGTACAATATATTGAATAATCATATATTGAAACAACAATAAATTATAAATATTTAGGTTGTATTATGTATAATTTCAACTTTTTTTCTTTGAAGATTCATATAGGCTTTGTGATAATAATCTAGAATAAAGTCGGATAGTACCTGTCTGTATTTGAGTAAAAATTAGATTGGTTTTTCAGTTTTTCCTATGTTTAGTCCAAAAACAGGCATTTACGTGATTTATTTTCACTGAAAAATAATTAATCAATTTGAGCCTAAGAGGATGTACATTCGCTTTTTAATCGTCCATTATTGTATGGTAAGGCTTTCTCTTATAATTCTTTTGGTTAATTAATAATATGGAGATGAGATTAATGCATATGTTTAGGAGCCTTCTAATAATTCTATTAAACTTATTCTTATTATAGGTTTTGATTAAGAATTTATGAACTCCAAATTATTGGTTATTTTTCTTACTTAAAAACAGGCTTCTTGATGTCATTAAAATCTTACGCACATAGAGCTAAAAGTTTAATCATTTGATTTTTTTACATCTTTGCTTGCTTTCCTTAAATTCAAGATTTTATGAAATATAAATCCTAATAGATTGTAGTTCTAGAGATGCTTCTGCTTGACAAGCTATTCTTAGTTTGTCTAGAGCATCAGATAAGATCAAGATTTCTTTGCAAATCAGAGAAAACTTCTAAAATTGAGCAGCTTCTCTTCTTTATAGCTAACCCTAAATATCAGAAATATCTAATTCCTTAACAAGAGAATCTATGGTCCATGATGTATAACATTTTTTAGATATGTCTGCAATGTGATCAACAGCTTTATGAAATGGATTGTGGCTCTTCTTTATTTTATCCTTTAATTCTATGCATCTCTTCTTCACTATTTGAATGATGTCAACTTAAGCAATATGTATTAGTTATTCAATAGAGTTGTTAATTCCTTCTGCATTCTAAACATCCTAGATTCTTTAGACTAGAGAGTCACTATGATTAAGAGATACATAATCACTTTGTAATAATGTTTTCGAATTCTTTAATTTAAAGAACTTTAGAGTCGTGTTGTTTATGATCCCAAGCACATGATTTGCAAATCAATCTCTAATCTGGGCAATCCTTAAGAGTACATACAAATTCTATTGGGTTCCTGTATTCGCAAATGCATAATCGATGATTCATAAATATATTATATAAAAATAAGTCAAATCAAAATCTCCAACTCCTTTTATAAAAAAATCCTGCATCTTAGCAATCTCAAATGGCTTAGTCCCCTTAAATTTTAATAGAATCAGAGTACTCTCTTTTGGTTGAATCTAGCAACAAAAAATTAATCGAAATCTATGCATGAATTCACCAACCAAGAAAAAAAAACTCCACATTAGTTTAAATAAGGAAAAAATAGCTTTTCTAAACCATAGAAGGTTTAGATTTTTAATACAAATAATGGGTATTTTTTTAATGAATCATTCTCATAAATAACCTTAAAATTATACGAATTAAAAGGAACATTAGTTGAAACCTAATAATTCAAAAAATAACTATTTGATGACGAAAATTATATAAAGTTTTCTAATAAATTGTAACAACTACTAAATTATCAATTTCAATTAAATAGAGAAGCAATAAGCTCCCTCCAAAGATAATTTCAATAAATTTTGGAAAACCAAGCATCAAAAAAGGCAACTACATCTTTCTAATAAAATCAATCCAATAGTTCTATGAAAATTACTACTTCTAAGATTTATGTCCAACGTTCAGTTGATGATATGCAGTAATAAACTTTTAGTTTTTTTTATACTTCTAAAGAATCAAAAAACCCAGTTAATCTGCTTTGTTAAGGAAAAATTTTTGATTAATAAATAAAAATGAATTAAAATACCCTCTCTCCTAAAGTGCAGTACATTAAACTTGATCAATATTCCTTAATTTGAAAAGTTTATCTCAATGTAAAAATATAATGGGCGTAGTTCATTAAAAACCAATGATAAACTGAAAAAAATTCATAAGAATCATAAATCATTTAGTAATCACACCAATATGAAACAAGAACATATATTGTTGCAGCAGACTAATAAACGCCATTTATAATATCAAAACGTGGATCTCGAGTTGTAAAACCAAAAGAAAGACATTCTGAAGAATAGGAGAAAAAAAATAAAAACTTATAAAAGAAGCAGAAGGTTAGTATTTAAAATAAGAAAATAATCTCAAAGAGCAATTTATTTTGAAATAAGAAATTGAATTACTGAATGTGATTATTTAGCATCTAACAAAAAAATGAAAACTCTATATCTATTTATTACTAAACCTATTTTCAATTCAATTTACATCATCCTTATTATTGTAAATTATCATAATTCAATATATGAATACTAAAATGGTGATTGTTAACCTATCACTTGAATTAAAATTTTGATTATCTTGATTTTATTATATTTCAATTATTTAATGTGTGTAATCTTTATTAAGTTATACACTATAAAGTAGAAAGTTTGAATCGGTCAACAATAACTTTTCTTCCAGATTTATTTACATCGAATACAGGATCATTACCTTCAGTACTTAACACTCTTTTTTTTAGGAGTATATCATTAAATGTTTTACATTTTGTTGTATTACTTTTTTCCTAAAATTAATAAGTTTTTTATTTACCTACATCTACCATATTAAGCCAGCTATATAATTTTTTTAATTCTCAATTTATTCACCCAAGTTCGATATTTTTTTTTTTTACTTTTCCTTATCAAATGTTTTAGTAAGATCATATCTCATTAACTTTTTTTTCAATTCTTTCATTTCTTAATTAAGCTCCTCATTTTTTTCTGATAATTATTTATATTACTCTTCCCAAATATTTATATATTATTTACCTATTATTTTGTAATACTTTAGAAATGTATCTCTTATTATTACAACTAATTTAAAAGATCTTATTGATTTGGCAATTTTGGTTTATAAAGTTACTCATATGAACAATCATCTTAGACTGCGATTCTGGCAAATTCTTTTTCATAGAGTTCAAATTCTGTGAAAAATGTTAATAACTTAGTCAGCTTAAGAAATAACCTCAAGTTCTTCATTTTTAAATCATCTATTTAGTTTTTTAGCTATTCTACCAATCTATGATCTTCAATCTCTTCAAAATCTAATTTTTTATGTTATGGATGTTATTAATATTAATTTTAAAGATTATTAATTGTAGCACTGTAACTACGAATTATTATTTCTTATTCAGCTATTATTTTATCTTTTTCATCATTTTTTTTCTCAAGTGCCGCAATCTTAACATTTGCGTTAATTAAGTTTTAATAATCTTCTTCAATTTGCTCTTTCAGTTTTTCTTATTTCATTTACAATTATTTTTCTACTAATTCTAAAAATTCTGCTTTTTGTCTAATGAATTTATGTTCTAGTTCTACTTTTATTGATTTTCTTAATCTATTTGTCTCCATTAATTTTTTTATTAATAATTTTTCTATTTTAGAACAATACTTAAATATCAATTTTAATTAGAAATAAATTAAGAAATATATGCCTTGATGTCATTTTGATGAAATTTATGTATTGTTTTCAAGTTATATATTTTAATAATAAATCTTCGTTGATCTTTTTACCTTCGTAAGCATTCATGATTATGAATTAAAAAGAATAGTAAGTTCAGTTTGAAATTTATTTATAATTAAATAATTCATTAATTCATTTATCTATATAAAAATAAAAATATTCATAAAATATATGTCGAAAATTGATTGGGAATAAAAACTCAAATAATATCATGCCTTAAAAGATAGAAAATCGATTACCAATATGCTCTAAATTAAAACCAAAATTATAAGATTATCACCATCCTTAGGATCATCAACAAGAGCTGGAACTGAAAGAAATTCTTTTAGACATAGGAGATTAAAGACTCCAATCGATGATGGAATATAGTTAATAAAAACTAGTAAATCGTAATAAGTATGTAAAGATAATTGAGGAGGTATCTCCATTAAAAGATGTTTGTCCTTGGAACACTTAGACACCATTACAGAAATTCATGAAAATTGATAAGGCCACAGATAAAGAAAAAAAAGTTTTACAGTAATTTATATGCAATAAATGGCTAAAAGAAGTGATATTAAAAAAAAGCATTCATGTAGCTATTCCTAAAGAATCTGAAGAAGAGAAGAGAATTAGATTATAAGAATTTGAAACATCAGAACATCATCGATAATTAAGAATATAGCAATCTTTAACTCCATGCATGAGTAAAATGGAGAAGGTTTTTTGCAAAATAAAAATCTTTTGTAAATTAGCAAGTTAGCGAGGAATACCTTTAAGTGATTAAATCAGAATTAATAACGATTATCGTCGACTTGTGTTTTTTGTACATTTTCGAAATGAAGATTACAAGATATGTGATTAAATGATCAATTCAGATCCTCAAATAAAAAATGCAATTGATATGGTATAAGTTACCTCAATTTAAAGTAAGGTGATAGACCTTTACATATTGCAGTTAGAAGAAATAATTTGAGATAATTAACATATATATTAAGTAAGTAGCCTGATTTAGAAGCAATCAATTTTTATGAATAGACGGCGCTCAATTTAGCGATATTATTAAAGCATTTTGAAATCTAAAAAGTATTTTTATGAGATAAAAAGATTCTTTTAGTTTATGGATGTAGTCCTTGGAAGATATTCAAACCAAATAAATTAGTAAGGACAGCTATTCTTTATAGGATGAGAATGATATGTGAGCATACATAATTGTACGATGAATTGGCCTATTGCTTGAATATAATTAATTGATATTTTATTATTTTATGGATAAACATCTAATCTAAGTAAATATGGGTACTCTAAAAAATCCTGTTACATAGTAATTCACTTTTAAATAGACTGATGTAGCTAGCATTAAGTTTTGCTAATTTAATGATTTTAATAAGATGGGAGAATGTTGTAAGAGTCTTTTTGAAACGTAATTAATAATTGATATCAACTTCATCATAACTAACTCAATAGCATATACAATTTAGGGTTATGATATTCAACCATATTGAATGAATATCAACTTCTTTAAGAGAAACTGAACTAATATTAAAAATGGCAGAAGGAATACAAAGGAAAGTGAGATCATTAATTGACGGTTTTAATAAATTTTAAATAGAAAAAGAATAATTAATAGAGAAAGATAAAAATTAAGAAAAGCAAAAGTAAAGGACTTAACAGCTAAAGTATAAGAGTTGCAACTTAAATAATTTTAATTATAATCTTTTTGATTTGTCGAATGACTCTTAAAATTTTCCACTATTGCTTCATGTCATTTTCTAATCTTCATTCTATTCTGAAAGTAATATAGTGGCTATCAGTGAGAAGCAGAAACTGGTTAACAAAAATAAGAAAATATAAGTTTACTAAATAATGAGCTTAACTAATTATTGAGTCAATTGAAAAATACGAATTAAATTAATTCTTAAGTATTGGAAATGCCTCAAATAAAAGAATTAGCAGCTATGTTTAGTGGAATGATAAAGTAAAAATATTATTGAGATTTATTGATAACTCAATATTTTGAATTCACAAAATTTTAGTAATAGAAGAAGACTTAAATGATGGAATAACTAAATATATTAATATTTTAGTTAAATAGTAGTAGATTTCAATTAAGTCTGGCTCTGGTAATTAGAGTCCTAATATTCATGATGAGAAAATTAAAATGTTATCCGAATAAAGAATCCTTTAATTTGAACAGAATTATTGACTTAATACCTGATTCTATAAGATAAACTAGAAACAATAAAAAAATAGAGCCATTCTCCTAACCAAAATCTAATGATTATAAATTGAAATAAGTCATGTCAGTTGTTGAAAATATTTCTAATACAAAAAAGATTTCTCTCTTTTGCATCATTATTTGAAAGATATGTAATACGATACACAAAATAAACCTAGCAAAAGATCTTTCAAAGGTGTAACTTTGGTTATTATTGTCACAAGTCGTATTAAGAGAATAAATAATTCTTCATATTATCAATAATTTGTGGAATAAAAAAATTTGAGAATTCAAATTCCAATTGACGATTCTTTAAATCAACTCATGACTGGTCAACTATTTTAAATTGATTCATTGTTAAGAAAAGCGTTTTAAATAGCATTTGTAAAATAAAAAATATGATAGATTATTAATTCAGAATAAATAATGATATTGTAGAATGAGCTTTATATCAATAATATGAAAATGATTGAATATTAACTTAAATTAGATTAAGATATTGAAGATAACGCTCAACTATTAGAGGATTGAAGCAATATTTGTAATACTTTCCGAATGATTACAATTAAGAACTACAGGAACATTTGGAAGACCAAAATAATAGAGTCAAGAATATTGAAAATGAATTTAATGATTGTATGATCTTGTCAATCCTCTAAGGTGGTCTATTATTCTACCAATTGCATTATTATTTATTTTTATTTGAACTAGAAAAGTAAAATTATTTATCAAAAAAAATATTATTCCACTAATTATAAATGGCTCTGTAAGATATACAAAATTCAAATTTTAAAGAAATAAGATTAGCATAATCCACCTAGTGGATAAATCTTAAAATCATACAAGTATACATTTTTTATGAGAGCAAAGTTACGCCTGATTGTTTCTACCAAAAAGATGGTAGCAATTATTGCACAGTTCTTTTGCATAATGCTCTTTATCTGGATGGTCACATATATTTATTTTTTTACTTCTAATTTAGAATTTAGAAGTGGTTTACATCTTCTTTTTCATTTTTTTGGAATCTCTTATCAAATTTAATAACTCGTGCATTTATGTAACATCAATCTTTTAACTCTTTATTATTGTTTTTATCATTTTGTTAGCTATAAAATTTCAGTTCTTAGATTATATAAAATTAAATATCAAAACCTTAAATTATACGATTAGCCTTACAATTGTTTATTTAAAAATTAAGAATTAATTCTTCATAAAGCCATTATACATGACAATGGATTTAAATCCATAATGCCTGGCAATTGACTTTACAGAATTTCCTGCATGATTTAGTATAATGGTGGAAAAAATTAGTAGTTTTCCTCCTTTTTGATATAAGGATTAATGAAATTTAGTGTAGTTTAATTTTGATGACCATATAGGTCGAGGAACAGTGTAAAATAAAATTTGCATAGAAGACTTTAGAGTAGAAGGTGACAAAAAATGCATTTTTATATTTATAAAACTTACATGAATTACCAACAGAAATATGTATTTTAGACACATAGTATACTTAAAAATTAATGTAAATATAACATCTCCAAAAATATCAACTATTTTTAAAGAAAAAGTCCCTCAGAACTAATTTCTAACAATCAAGTCAGATTGTATAATATTCTATGACACAAAAAAGAATTATTATCAACTAGTATAATATTGATTTTGCTCCACCTGAAAATTAGAAGATCAACTTAATAATCATATGCACTCTTTTTTCTGGAGGAAAAATTCAGATTATAAGTGATTAATGAGAAAAGATTGATTAAATTTGCTAAAAATATAGGATAAAAAAAGGACTTTTGTGAGTGATTATCAAAATCAGCTGTATGAAATCCAAGTGATCCCATATAGTTTTAATCATTATTTTTGAATAAATATCTTATAGTAATGATCTTAAATCAGTTTAAGCTGGAATATTAAATTTTGTAGAATTGAGAGAGTCAGATATTTGAATTAACTTGACAAGTTAGAAAACTAAAATATTTAATTAATCTTTAATTTGTTTTCGTAATGCCATATTTTCATTAATTGAATAGAAAAACTGCATAAAACTATTAAAAAATCACTACTTTATAAGAACATTTATTAGTTCTCAATTTTAAACAACTATGATTGGATTGATATAACCAATAATATATCTTTATTGAGAAATCAAAATCTGATTAAGTTATCAAAAAAGTTAAAAATATTAAAATAAAGCCAACATTAATTTAAGGAAATGTTGAAAAAATGCTCTTTTAATCTCTGAACTATATAGAGTAAAAAATTCTTTGAAATGAATAAGAAATTGATTAATTCAAAAAATTACATTTTTAAATATAAAGAAAAATTCCTTAACATAGAAATGTTATAGAAGAGTAACAAAAAATAGTTAACTCATATTTTCAAAAGAAAATTAGTGTAAAAGAGAAAGAAAGATCTCAAATGAAAAAGAGAAGGTTTCAGTATATATATATAAAAACTAACTTTAAAATAAAGTAACATCATTATCGCCAAATTTGGACGAAAGCTGAGATGGTTGAGATATATAATAGGAAATAGGACCATAGTTGATACTTCTTCCTTTAAAGGTATCCTTCTTTTATAATTCTTATAATATTTTACAAATCTAGCTATAATTCTTTCCTTTGTGTGCATTGGTGAAAAAATAATTTTTTAAATATATCTATTGAGTTGATCTTTTATGGTATTGTCTATTTAAAGAAATTTAGGTTAAAAATGCAATATATCCTTTTTTTAACACACTTTTGCAGAAAAATAATATATATATAATTTAGATACATCTAATATTATGGTTTACCCAGACTTCAATTTTTCAAGGTTTAAGAGAGTTTTTTTATAAAAAACCGTTTCCTTTTAGGAGAATTATAGGAGTAACACTTGATTAATTTAAAAACTAACCTATATTAGCCCTTAATTTAAAATTATTTTAATATACTTCTTGTGTCCAATATTTGTTGATAGAGTTCTATTTTTTAGTTTTTTCTTATTTAACAATCTTCAAGCATTACTAAAATGGAAATTAATTTAGCACATTTAAAAATATTATGAAATAGAACTTTTAGTTGCATGAATGCAATAATATCTTAAATCTTTGTATACTGTTTTTTTGGTATTATTCTTATCATAACCAAGCATTTTCTCTCAATTTATATTTAGAATGTGAATTGTATAAGATTTATAAAGTAGATTCTACAGCTAAATCTTTCAG